CCGCAGCACCAACTCCCGCTGCCCCAACACCCGCAGCACCAACACCAGGGAGCTACGGTGACCCGCACATCATGACATGGAATGGAACTGAATACGACGTGAGTCAATGAAACCAATGGAACTTATTGTAATATTCGCTTGAGCTATGCTTCTAACTGTTTCCCTTTTGCCACTTACTTCCCTCTTCAGTTCCATGGCGCTTGTGATCTCGTTCTTTTGCACAACCCCAACTTTGCCGGTGGCCTTGGAATGGAACTTCACATCCGTACCAAGTAAGTTCCTTCTCTGTTTTTGTGTTGCACGAGCGAGCTTTTGTGCAATCACTTGGGCAAGAACTAACCTCCCTTTCTTCTCTTAAGGATTGACACTTGGTGGAGTTACATTGAAACGGCAGCTCTACGCGTGGGTGAAGACACCTTCGAGGTCATGGGTGGCGATGGCTTGAAGTACTGGTTCAATGGGAATCCAGGCAGGACCAACTTGAAGAATGGAAAGGCTCTAGGCAAGAAGCTGGCTGGTGAATACAAGATTCGCTTCCGATGGTTGAACAATCATCAGCATCAGTTCAAGGTTGACTTCGGGAATGGTGAAGCTGTCACCTTCAAGACATTCAAGGAGTTTGTTCGTGTGAACGTGGAGTCATCGACCTATGGTGACTTCCATGAGAGTTCTGGTTTGATGGGTTCGTACCCTAGCGGCATGCTCTTGGCTCGTGACAACAGTACCATCATGGAAGATGTGAATGAATTTGGCAAGGAGTGGCAGGTGCATTCGTCAGAGCCCAAGCTCTTCCACAACAAGGATGGACCTCAACACCCTGAAAGATGCTCGATGCCAACAATCTCCGAGACTGCCAGTGGCCGCCAACGACGTCTTGGTGAATCTATGATCACAAGAGAAGATGCCGAAGTAGCTTGTGCCCATGTAGACCAGGCCAACCGGAACGCCTGTGTCTTTGATGTCTTGGCCACAAACGACCTAGACATGGTCGGTACGTATTAAGAAAAGGCTACTGCGAGCCACAATTACGCCAAAGCCGCAGCAAATCGCATGGGCACATTTCCCTACATTAAGAATTGCATATTATTTAGTAGAATTTTATCAACTTTATCTTGTGCCTTTTTGTGCTACTTACTAGCTAGCTAGAAGAGCTACCTGGTACCAGTAACAAGGGCGACCCTCCCAAACCTCGGTGAGGTTTGTCAGGGTGGTTATGCCTTGCCGTTCTGAGCCTGTGCATGGTGGGGAGAGGGGCGGTGGTGGCGCCTTCCACCATCGTGGACACAGAAAGAGGGCGCACCGTGGAAAATCTTTGCGAAAAAAGCACGCAGAGAAGATCCAACTGGACTTTTGGAATGCCAACAATAAGAGAACATCTGCTCTCTCTTCGCTGTCATGCTGGAGCCTGGAGCCCCTGCGACGACCTCTGGAGTCGAGTCCATTCCCACACATACGGATAGTACCGGTAGTCCACTCCGTAACCCGCTTTTTTATCCGAACAAAGGGCCATAGTATTAGTACTCGAAACGGCACAGGATGAGTATTGCAAGGGCCGCTCGGTTGTTGTTGTTAATCATAGCTCTGCTTCACCTATCCCCGGTATATTCCTTCTCTCCAGGTTTTCGGCCTTCGAGCAGTGCTGCTTCATCCTTACCGAAAGCTAGCACCCTCCATTCGAAGGCATGGAGAGAAGTGTCCTTCTTTAGATTGGCAGCAGACAAGAACAAGGATGGTGATGATGAAACCTCTCTGCCTCCTCCAGACATACTGGTCGCTGAGACATCGCTGGGTCTGAAGAGAGTTGCCTGGCTTTCTTGGTGGTGCCAAATGATCTTGACGGTGACTTCCTCTGTCATTTTGATCTTTGCCAAGAATGTTGTCACGGGTCTTCGAGATGCCTCCGTTAACTTTGTATTGGCTGGAACGGGGATTGTGGCTTCCTTCATTAGCATCTTCTGGACTTGGGCTGGAGGGGCCCGACTTTCCAGACGACTGGTGCGACGAGCTACTTCTCGCGTTCAAGCCGCCAATATGCTTCGAAGAGCCATCAAAGTTGGGATTTCGCTCAACTTGATTGGAATGTTCTTAACTCTTCTTGGTGCAGAGCAGACTGTGGGAGTGTTGGCAATCAAAGTTATGACGCAAAGGCCTTGGAACAGTGCTGGTGGAATGGGAATGATGGAGTATGGACTGCAACCTCTGGATATCTTGGTCGTTCAGGCAAATACCAACAGTTTGTTGAGCCACTTTGCCAGTCTGGTGTGTTTCTTGTACCTCAACCGATACGTTGACAAGCTGGATCCGCCTTCGGAGGACGACGAGACATCCTGAGGCTGGCAACAGTTACCCTTTCATGAACTAGCTAGCTAGCTAGAGCTCAATAATTAAAAGTGAAGGAAAAGGAAAACATTGCATCTTACATAGAATTCATGGAATCATTTTATTGCTAGTAGCCAGAACAGTGAAGCTTGCTTCGCGCGTATGGTGTACAGCTACAGCATCATGTACTAATTACACATTCGTTCCTTCCAGCTCGCTAGGCTAACTAGGTAGAATAGCTGCTGGAATCACCTCTAGCTGGGTGCATCACGTTGCGGGCTGTTCCTGTGTGGTTGTCGGCGGCGCCTGTGGTGTGGAGCGCTGTGTTTGTTGTGGCTGTGACTGCTGCTGTTGTTGAGGCTGAGGATAAGATTGCGACGAAGATTGCGTTAGCTCTGGCGGTGGTGGATCTTCTTTTTCCTTGCGAAGGACCAGCTTGGTATGATACTGATCAGCACTCGATTGATACTTGATGGTCAGAGTTGTCTCTTCACGCAGCATCCGTTTGAGGGCGTTCACTGTTGCCGAATCCAGATAGCGAGAACAATAGTAAAGGCAGCCACTGGCCTCATCCTCAAAATCATTCTTGTATACTTCGCACACTCTAGGAAGCAACACGCATCGACGGATCACGTCCACAGAAAGCTGCGATTCTAAAAATGCGACCGAAGCTGTGCTCAATTGATCTTCAATCCTTTCGGGTCGCAACACAGGAATGTCTTGGGGGCAGGAAACATCACCCGTGTTCTTTAAATTTCAAACAAAAACGGAAGCAAAAGCAAAAGCACGCCAGTCAGCATCAAAAACGAAGAAGGGGTTGCACAGCACAGACGAAGGCACTTACCAACACAAAGTTGATTCGAGGGTCAGTAAATTTGAGCGCATAGAAACGGTACGCATTCGATTTCTTGGGGGCATCCACGTAAGGAGGCTTGGGTGAAACCGGGCGCGACATGTTGCCGCGAATAATGCAGCTCTGAATCTCGGCCAGCGAGAACACGTCTCCACCAATCTCATAACACGATGCGCGCATAAAGTTGCCGACAGTTCTTCTGTGAAGAGGTCCATTCACCGCCAATAGGAGAGCGTGCTGGAGAAGGCAATGATAGAGGTTGACGAAAAGGCAGCATGCCTCGACTCCCTCTCGGTCGATCTCAATGATTGGAATCAGTCGTAGATGACTGACAGCATCGAGGAATTTCACTAGACGTTCAGGGTCACGCTCGAGCGAGCTCAACGAAAAGGACAAGGACGTGGAGAGGAGATCCTCTACATACTTTCCAAGACCGCCGGCTTCTCTTAGGAACCCTTCGTCCAAATCAAAATCCATCCTTCGCCCGTTCAGTATCGTTCTGCAGATAGACTTGCTGCCAGATTGCACTTCGGCCCACTGAAATATAGACGATGAGAAACTGGTGTCAACCGCTGCATCTCCTAGTTTCGTTGACCAAGCATATAGACGTACCTTGCCACGGCAAATTGCTGATTCGGACTCCACAGAATTCTGGAATCCCTGCCAAAACCGAGCCTTCCAAAGTTCGCGTTCGCTCGCGCCTGTAATCTGGACCTCAGCTGTTCAACGTGATGGGAGGGAAGTTCGAGAACAACAAATCAGCATCAACCGAAAGGAGGGAAGAAAGCACCAAGAGCAAGCGAACAATGCAACGCACCACGAGCAGATCTCTTAGGGATCAAGATCTCGACCTTCTCACGGAAGCTGTCTCGCGCTTCGTCGCTTGGGAAAGCAAGATAATGGCATTGCCAAGCCGTTTCGATAGCCAGAATAGGAAACCCCGGGAGCGGGTTCCTCTGCTGAGTATCCAGCATTCGGATCGATTGAACATCCGAGAATGAAAACTCCAAGCAGGCCTTCGTCGTTAGGGGTGCGTAAAACACAATGCTTTTTCGGTACACTCCGCACCACTCTTCTCGCCAGTGGCTCTCCCACAGGCATCTAGCCACTAGACTTTCACACACCAGAGCCCCCTTGAGAACCTCTTGCTTCGGGTCGGGAACAACTCCGATCTGAGAGAAACGAGGAAACAAAACAATGAGTCTTCGCTTCCAACTGCACAACAGATCAGCTGGCAAGTGAGGAATACTTACTTGCATGGCACCACCACTAAGGAACCAGGTATCTTGATCAGAAGCCTGCACAATCTGCGTAGATAGGATGTTGTTGAAATTACCCGAGAACGGTGACGACGTCGGAATGCTCGACATTCGTGCCAACACGTTCGACACGGTTCTGTATGATTGCTCAGGCGCTGCAAGTTCGCCAGCCAAGAAAAAGAGATTTGATTGTTCTGGGCCAATTTGCTTCACAGTCTTGTTAACAGCGACATGAAGGTCTCGCTCTCGTCTCCACTTTGCTTGCTGACCAGCCTTGGACTTTGGCTGTCGCCCTGGAGGGTTCTTGGATCGGCTTGTGCTAGATATAATTGCCTTGCCAGCGCTTACTCCGGCGCTGACAGTTCCCTTGCCAATTTTTACACTTGTTTTAACGCTTGAGACGACCACTTTCTTCCCCATGGAAGCCCCGCCTTTCGTTACGCCCACGCCCGCCTTGGTAACGGCGACGCCTGCCTTCACACTACCTTTAGCACCCGCTTTAGCAACCTTGGCTCCTGCCGTAGCACCCGCTTTAGCAACCTTGCCTATGGCCCCAATTGTGCTTCCAACGATCCTTCGTTTGGATTTCTTGGTTGGCCCCGAGTCATCTAGAACTGAAGGTCCCTCCGTGTCATCGTCGTCTGATTCCCATTGTTGCGAGCCTTCTTCTCCATTCAAGTCTTCAAACGAGCCGTCCATTGCGAGGTTGGGCGGTCCAGTTCGTGAATTGACACTAGAAATAAACGCAGCAGACGGAGACGACCCTCCCCTCGTAGGCGTCACAGCGCCATCGATTGAAGATGCAGAAGTGGTCTTATTTGGGCTACAAACATGAGCAAGGAGTGTGAGTATCATCTGCGTCGTGAAGCACGCACGGCGGCAATCGACAAAACTGTTAATTGTCTCACCTGACTGGTGTCCTCGGCGGTGCATTCTTCTCTGGGAAAGCAGCTGTGCTCCTCCAACTTAGACCAACGCGCATGATCTCCGCAAGATCTCTCCCCGTTCGAAGTCTCACAAACGGTTTACAAAGTGGTTCCAACGTGGACACAGATTCTTCACTTGAACTGTTCGAGCTAGGTTCGACGCGGACGGCATAAGCTAGTTGTCGTATTCGTTCAGTGCGATTCATGACCTCAACCCATGCCGGGACGTCGAGCCTAGAATCCTCGTTTGAAAAGACAAGCTTTGGTCGTTCACCAGATTGTGGTTCTTCTGAGGGCTGCTCTTCGCTGCCAATTTTGGCAAGTCCGGGTACCGAAGCCATGCTTGCCTGGCTCGCTTCGTAGGCACGCAGTTGTAAAGGTTTCATCCACCTCCTCTTGCCTTTGCCGTCGGTCAAAGATAGGTCTTCATCATCCGAGTTGTACGACATTTCTGCGCCCCCCTGACTTGCCCCCTTGAGGGGCTGAAACAGCCCTAACACTCTACCACCGTAAGTTGCGGAGCCCTCAGACGACGAGCCAACACTGTATTGCGACCAACGTTTGTGCCGCAACCAGAACGAACCCCCAAACGTTAGGTATTGTGATTGAGTCTCGCTCGATGGCAACTCGTCGTTATCGTGATCGGCAAACTCAGTCTCATGCGTGAAGATCGTAAAGAATCCATTTTTCTTCGGCGGCGTAGACACCCACTTTAGCCACCAACCGCGGTGAATTGAGAGGTAACGAATCTCGGTTTCATCTCGGTTCCTGCCTTTCGTCACAAGTCTGACGGACACTGTATCACCACTCTTTATCAACTCGCTCCGTGCTCTCGATCTGACGCTCTTTCTGCGTGCTTTCTGCATTACTATAGTGGACGCAGATGAGACACCTTCGGCTAGAACGGCAAAACCAGCGCCGTTCGTGACGAAGCAAGGGTTTTCATTTTCATCATTATCCGCGCCGGATTCCCGAAGAACAACGCTGTCCCCACTACGCAAATACATGCCTTCGCCGAGCTCTGCAGCCGTTGCAGCATCTGCGGCGTCATACTCCGTTTCATCTCCCAACAGCTCACCAGCAGTAGAATGCTCAGGGTGGCCGTCATCGTCGTCTTCCTCGAAATCGTTATCGTCGTCGTCGTCTAAATTCACATCATCATCGTCTTCTACCTCTTCCACGTCTTCTTCTTCGTCGTCGTCATCATCATCATCCATCTCTGTGACAGTGTCCTCAGAACGCGGCGTGATGGGTTGGTTCTTCTGTTTGGCTGCCCACTTGCGTGCGAATTCTCCAAGAAGTCCAGTGTCCGTGTTGCACAGTTCGAGCTCTACAACTTGGGTGATATCTCTTCTGTAGTGCTTCTCCGCGGATCGGTCCACGGGGATCAGGTACAACGTCAGCAAAATTGGTTGTGGGCCAATGACTTTGTTGAGTTCAAAAGGTCGAATTCCAGGAAGATTGATGACCTTCCATTCCAAGAAATCCACGTATGCCGTCCAGAGTGCCATCGTGTAGGTATCCTCTAGGTTCCAGTCCACTGGGCCTCCCTTTTTCCTGGCTTTGATGGATTCCGGATCCTCGTAAATGACATCACCCAACGTTGGCGGTGCATCCCCAGCCTTTGTCACAACCACACGGTCCATACTCATTTCCACAGGGAATGACATGTGCGGCTTTTCCCATCGACCATCAGGATCTTCTTTACTTCCGGCCATGGAGTAGTGAAAACTGTTGTTGGTGCTTTTGATAAATGCCATTGCCGCTCCGACGAAAGCACGCTGAATGATGCCCATCTTCACGGGTTCCTCCAATTCTGCAGCAAAGTAGATCTTTTGATTTTCGGGCAATTTTTTGAGCTTGAGCTGATACTGAAATTCGAATCTGCGCTGCTTGTCCCTCATGTAATTGCACACTGCCTCGTTCTCTTCGTTCCCCTTGGGATGAGCGGGGTCGTCGACGTCGGGAGTTCGAATCAAGACCATCATTGTCATATCAAACCAATCATTCGAAATACTATGCGGAGAGCTGGAATTGGGTATAACCCGCTCTCCAGTGGTGGTGTCGATGGTATAGAAAGGATTCAGAGCGGCGTGTGGCATGACTGCGCCTTGGGTGGAGGGCGCTTCACCGCCGTCATCCGACGGCTTCTTTTTGGGTGTTCGCTTGGAGCGTTTCTTCTTTGAAGTATCAACCTCGTCGACTTGTGTTTGCGCTTTTTCTGGTAGTAAGATGGCTAATTCGTCGTCATTAGCAGCGCCTGCTCTAGGTTCCACTCCTCTTGCTTTTGGTCTGTCATCGTCGATGTAAGGGCCAGTAGAGTCCCCCGTTTTGACTGTTGCAGCTTCCCCACCAGCGCTACCTGGATCTGTTGTGACAGTTTCAATCTTACTCTTTTTTCCTGCGGTTGTATCTGGAGTTGCAGCTCCTCCCCTGGGAGCAAGTCTGCGGCCTGCAAAGAGCTGTCGAGGCCGAACACCCGCCGTGGTTGGAGGAGTTGAAGTCATTGCCATAAACCACAAGACACCACAAGTACCCCATGCGACCAGCGCATATTCCAAAGCCTTCCAAACAAAAACTCTCCATTCCGCCTTGAAAGATCCCACGATGAATGCAGCCAAAACAAGAGTAATTTGGCGCAAGTATCGTTCCAGTCGAAAGACCACCCAGTCACGCTGATCTCCCACAAGAGGCAGTTCTCCGGCCGCTGTGGCTGCATCTCCACCACTCCCACCCACAGCCGATCGAAGGGCCCCCGTGAGCGACCCTCGTCGAGGAGTTGTCGTCGATCCGCCCATTTCTGCTGATCCGGAACCAGCAACACCGCTTCGGTACGAATTGACACGCTCCATGAAGGAGCCGCGCTGCTGGGGTCCAATCACTTCTGGGATGCCACCATCAGCGGCAGCCGGTCCACTGTTGTCGTCATCGTCGTCCTGAGCGACATCTATCAAGTCTTCTTCTTCGTCGTCCAACGCTTCATCTCCTTCTTCAATGCTGCCGTAGCCCTGAGCATGAATGGAGTGTTTGCGTTTGCTCACCATTCTGCCGACGGTGCGAAGGGGCCGTTTGGCGACAGACACGGAAGCAGCAATCACTTTTCGTGTTTTGGACGGCTTTTTGCTGCCGCTGGTGGAGGCGATGACATCTTCCAGGGAAATCCCACTGCCGTTCAGGTCAGAGTTGGACATGATGGAGGATTGTGACTCGCTATCGTAGCTGCAGTGCAACAAGGAATGCCTTTCCGTTGAGACCTCCGGATGCTCCAGTAGTTGCTCTTCCGATGAAACCGTAAGGGGCAGAATGGATCTTTGCCGTTGCGGATAGGATTGTCGTTTGATGGCCCGGAATAGTCTCTTGACAGGCGACACCCTACTACCGCTAGTGCTTTGAGACCCTACGGATCTAGACGACGAATAAATGGTGATGGCCAACCGAAACGACACAAGGAGAAACTCAAAACCTGATGCCTATTCTGATCCTTCTGTTCTTCCATGGAGAGTTGACCGATCTGAGCTGTCCTGATGACAACAAGTATGGTACCACAAGAGAGCAACACAGCCAGGGAGTCTTCCCCTTCCTTCTTTTTTGTTTGTCCACAGAGTTTCGATTGTTTCGGTCTTTCTCCAAGCTGCTCTGCTCTGTGTGCCTGACAGCAAACGGATGAATGATGGTTTTACCCGACGCACAACGTACGAGTACCAGTCGCTGACGCCAGTCAACGGTGGGAAAAAGAAAGCGAGCTCTCTTTACCATTGGATACCACTGTAAAATATTGATGCGTCTAAGGAACGAGTAATGTTTAACATTGAACGAATGGGAATTACTCGAGCCTCAAAGAGGGTCATAGCGCTACTGGTACATGCACTTTTTAGTTTGAGGCTGTGGCTCCAGTACCGCGATCCAGTAGAAAGAGAGACATCCTTGGAGGCATTCCCTACCGGTACTGGTAGCTAGCTATGTTCTAAAGGACGAAGCCAAGGCTCTGCAATTCAAGTGCCAATCAACGAACTGTGACCTATCTATTCATTCATCTACCGGTACTATTTGTTGGGAGCACTTCCCTTGGCAAACGCCTTCACCTTTTGTTCAAGGGATCCGAGGGCTGTCAGGATCCCGCTCTTAGTTTCCTCATCCCAGCCTTCTGAAGCACCGTTCACTTCCTTCTTTGCCTCGTCAATTGCTTTGACAACCTTACGGGACACAGGCTTCAACAGAATATTCTGTGTTGCCGGATTGTCTAGGTACAGTCCCATTTGCGTAAGGACCTCACCAAAGGAATCATCCAATGCCGCGTCTGTCTTGGCTACCACATCCTGCAAAGCGGCAGGGTTCATTGACCCCTTGTTCGTCTCTACAAATGTCATCAGGTCCCCCGCAACAGATTTGCATGTGTGCTCAATGAAATCGTTGCAGGCGGATCGAAGAGCATCTTCCAAATCCCGTTTCGAGTCCACAGACGATTCCTGCACCGACACACCCTCCCGAAGCAAGGTAATCAAGGCATTCTCCGTAGTCATGGAAAACAAGCGTCGGTTTCGATTGGCCAGAAAACGGGCCACGGCTCTACCCGCATCACTAAAATCAAGTTGACGTTCCACCGAACGAAGCTCAATGTCAAATGGAGACAGTTGCTCGCGCAGAACCTGAACGAGGGGAATCGGTAGCATCAAAAGCACGATGAGAAAGGAATGCTACGCCGCTACAAAGCATATACACAACACCGACTTACCAAAAGATGTTTGACAAGAAACAAATCGGAATGCATTTGCCCTTTGCGTCCATTGATGTACACTGCTCCGTCTCGAAGGCACTTCGTACAGGCTTGAACAGACTGAAGGGCAATGTCTTCAAAGACGTGCGGCTCAACAACGCGAAAGATTTTGGACAGGATCTTCAAGACGCTCCTCATTGGCGGGAACCAACTCTCGTAGACTGCCAATAACTGCTTTTCCATTCGTTCTTCTTCCGGCAATTTCGAGTCGTCTTCCGGGGTCTCCTTTTTCTTGAGACGATCAGGATAGTCCAAGTCAGAAGGAGTCGCCTTGAACCGGATAACTTCCTTGGAAAGAGCCGAGTTGGCACAAAAGATCAGTCGCTCTTGAGCATCTTCAATCACACTGGAAATGGCTCTGGCGGCTGCGACCGTGGTTGGCGACGAGCTGGCCATGGATCGTTCCTCGCGCAAGACGCTGACAATCTGGCAGAGAGTATCCAAGTCCAGCATCGTCACCAATCCACGACGAATGGTTCGGTGGAGCGAGGAACATAGATTTGTCAAATAATTTTGGAACTCCGAATCATAGTAGGTGCCGTCATTGGAGAGCACCTGCGATGCCATGGATTTCTTCTTGCCGGCTGCCGTAGTTGCCTTTTCCTCCTCTCCCTTTTTCTCTTCTAGTTTCTTGTCACCAAAGAAATCGAGGTAGAGCGATGTTTCCACTGTGCAAAGACGAATCAGAAACACGCTGGCCAAACGCGTCATGCCGACCAACCCATGTTGATTCTTGAGTGAGTCCATGTGCGTGCTCACTGTCGTCTTGAGCAAATTTTCACGCGAATTGCAGTAAGTAGTTCGACACAAGTGCAGCAGTTCGTAATAGGCATCTCCTTGATTCAATCGTCGTCGTACCAACGTCAAGAGACGATTGCTTCGGGAAGAAATTCCATGATAACGAGTGTAGACCAGAGAGGCCTCGAGTTTGTCGGCCGGAATGGGTACCTTTGGGATATTGAGAGCATCTGCCACCTGCGTGGACGTATTGGAAATTCGTTCCACCACGGCTTCTTTAATCAAGTCTAGAGCAGCTTCCTGAAGCGCCAGAGCACGTCGGAAGTATTCAATGCTCCCGCTGACGAGCTGCTGCGACTTGGTTTTGGCAGCCTCTTTTTCTGCTTGTTCCAAGGCCGCCTTTCCGCCACATTCCCTTCCAAAAAATGACACCGCCTCATCAATTTCATCCAAGAGTTCTGGAAAGTCGTCATTGTCCACTTTGGCTTTGGCAAGTCCTCGCACCGTGGTAGTCCCCTTGAATAAGACACCTACGGCAAGGCCAATTCGATCGACGGCGTCATAATGTTTCAAGGGGAGACCAATTTCTTCGGCATGCCTGGTCAACATGGCTTCTTCCTCCTGCAATCTGTCTGCTGCCGCCGATAGTTCTCCTGAATGACGGAGCAACTCGGCATGACGATTGGAGATGTCATCGGCAATATTAATAGAAGCCCGAAGTGCCAATCGCATGGATGTCGTGTGCTTTAACAGCTGTACCAAATGATCGACCGTGTCTGCTGTCGTTTCCAGAGTCTGATGAACCACAACCACAGATTCGTCTTCCTTTTCTTCTTGTCCTTTTCCCGGAGGTGGCGACATGGCTTGCAGCAAAAAATCGGCATTGTCTGGTATTTCTGTTGCGGCGGTAGCGGCTCGGGCTGTGGGCCCGGCTGTCAAGGCGGCAATGCGTGACAGCCGAGACACTTGCGACGACGACCGAGGAGCAAACTTCTCATAGGATACAGAAGGAGTAGAAGAGGAACGGGCCTTGGCCGGTGGGGAGGCGACGGTAGTAGACGCCATGGTCGCTTTGTTTTTTGGGTCAATTGAATTGAATTCGTCCGGGTGGATCGCTGAAGCCATCGCTGAACAAAAGATTCGTCAAAAGTCGTGACTGCCGTTCAGGATTCATTCACATGTATGACGTCATGGAAGCCGTTGACCGGAGTTCGGAAGGGGAAGAGGAAATTTCAAAAAATGATTTTTCCTTCCCTCACATTTTCAGCCCGAACCACCACTTTCACTTTGCTTCTTGGTCCTGAAAGGAAAGCCAAAGTTGGACTTTTGCTTTGCCCACACATCGACCACATTTTAGTCTAGTCTACCGTAGCTATATGAAATCCTGCGTTGACTGCATTTGCCATCATGTTTCGTCGGTCCAGCCACGATGATGACGATGCCATGATGAGAGACAATTCGGAAAACTCGGTACCGCCCCACCATCGGTTTCCACCAACGTCAAGTTACCATGACACATCATCCACACCCAAGCAGCACCATCCATCTCTTATTACCGGTAGCACCAGTCGATTATCCACCGACATTTTCCGGAATTCCTTTGCCATTGACAATCGAGTACGAACGCCACTCTATCCCATTCCACAACACTATCACCGCCAGCAGCATGAATTACTCCAGCAGAGGACTCCCTATCAGCGCTCTTCCTTGTTTGGACGAAGAATAGACTCAAGCCACCAGCAGGAACCAACACGACAACGACAACCACAACAGCAGCATCAAAGGCGTCATGCTCTGACTCCACCCATTGACAGTGATACGCTTCAGCCTGTCGTCGATGTAGAGGCACCTGCGTCGCATGTCAAAGTACCAAGGCGAAACTCCTTATTGCGACGACATGCCAACGATGTGACTTCTGCCATCACCAGTTCTCCCTATTCCATTGACGAAGCCACTACGTATGAAGACAATGATGAAAGTAAGGATCACATTTCCGTCAAATCGTCCAGGAGTAATTTGTTTGGAGAAGATATTTCTGTAGCCGCCAGTGTCCGAACCAGTTTTGGACAAGGAGCACACAGCGACAACGACGAAGAAGAGGACGAGGATGTCCGGTACTGCTATTCCCCTGGTTCGACCGATTTTCACGATGTAGAACTGCAACACTCATCATCCACGAATCGGGACGGCCAAATACTCAAAGACATGCCAGTCATCGGTGGCCCCATGTCGGCCAAAAAGAGACCATCCAATCAGTCTCAGCTCTCGGCTAATACAACTACTTCTAGCAGTGCGAGGAGACCCAGTATGCCACAAGTGTCCAAACTGGTGCAGCATGTTGGAAAATGGACACAAAAGGAAGTAATTGCGCCCGTCGCCAGAACGGCAGGACTCAAAGCGCAAAAGCTCATACATCAATATCGCCCTCCACCTTCACCACGCTCCAGAAATATGTCATCACTCAAATTTCTACGAGATGCGCACAAAGTGAAGGTCAACAGTCTCTCCAACATTGAGCACGAGGATCATTTTGATTTTGCCCTCGTGCTGACTCCACAAGAAGTCTATGCGTACTGGGCAGACTTGTTGGACTTTCGGGTGGAGCAACTAGGAGAGGAGGCCGCTCAAGCCATAGAGGCTGCCACGAGTGAAGGTTTCAAAACAGAAAATCAAGCCAGCAACTTGTCACCGAGAAGCACTTTTGAAACCATGCCTTCCACATCATCCGAGGAATCACCCAATCGACCCGTCGACGAAGAACAGCCAGAGTCACCCCTCGAAGCAGCCAGGGATTTCTCGACACCATCCACGGGTATCCACCAACGGCGTGGCAGGAGGCTCAATAGTATCGACTCCATCACTACAGAGACTCCCGATGTGACGGCATCCATGTCTCGAAGCCGCCGGAACTTCCCGCTGCCATCGCCATATCACACTCTCGCATCCTCGCAAAAATCGGTCGTTCCAAGAACCAGTCTTTTTGAACGAGCCTTGGGCCCTCTTGAACTCACCACTCCGTCTCATCGACTATCGTCAGAGGGCAATGCGTTCCATCGGAACGAGGAAACGTCAAGGTCAACAATCGGTATGATGGATGTAACCCCAAACACTACTGTTTCGGCCAATCGAAGAAGATGGGGTCCGCATTCCTTGAATGGAGCTTTGCAAACGCCCCACTGCATGATGTCACCACCCATACGGTCCATCTCCCATGGTGGCTCGTCCTCGGTACTGCCGAAACGCACGACAATCCGCAATAATAGAACCATTGGTAATCCCTCGGTGCCCGAAGGACGTGGAGACGACAACGAGCTTTCACCTGGAGGATCCCAACGACAAGAACTCAATAGCTTGAGAATCGAAGATATTCCGTCGCATGTCATCCCAAGAGGCATTGCTGCTCGAACCAATGGCATGGTTCAATTCCTGTCAGCACTGAAGCGGGGCGTCGTTGTGCGCCGGCATCGGAGTGGGATGGAACCAATATTCTGTAAAATCTCATCGAACGACGGTGGAGATACCATCAGGTAGGATCATCAACGCTGTGCCCTTGACCGTTGTGACGACATTTCACAAATCTCACGCCTCTGCTGTGTCTTAGTTTTGACTATGTTGAGCCGGAAGACGCCTTGAATGCGTTCAAAGAGCAGCGGGTTCGATACAATCGAAAAGACGCGGCTAGCCGAAGTCAAGCAAAACCTTGGAGCTACCAAGAAGGCAACGAAGAGGACACTGAGTTTCAGAATCACAATTTTAGCGTCCCTGATTTTATCGCTGCCAAACAGTTTCGAGAAAAGCAACTTCGAGAAAAGGGCTTGTCGAGAAAGGTGACTGATGCTGTTACCAAAGTGACAAGAAGCGGGCAGTTTCGTGCCAGCGACATGGTAGCTGTTCATCCTGCACGTCATGAAGATCCGAGATCAGACAAGGGCGAACTCGGAACTTCAACGTTGCGACGATCAAAGGCTGAACATTCGACCCAACTCACCTTTTCGGTTGTGTGCAGGGTCGTCCAGCGGTTTCCTGGAGCAGCCAACAAAACAATTGAGTCCTTTGAGAACAAATGGTACGTTGATTGCATGTGGGTGTTGACCATCTTCCAGTATCATCTTTTAGCTCACCAATATTCCCACATTTTGCTTTTCTGTTAGGTACAAGGGAGAAGGCAGTGACGTTCAGTTTCGATACATGGACTTTGAAGCGGCAACCGAGGGCGAATATTGGCTGATGTTTCGTGGGTTTCTTTTGCTTCATCGTGATGCAGCAGCTGGGCGGTTTGCAGCCCATAGAACAGCAGGGATTGGGTCACACGTCAATCGACTCGATCTGGAGCAACGCGAACTGGCCGATTTCGATGCTCAAAACGCTCTTCACAGGGATGAATTCCACGAGCCTGTTACTCCTAGTCTCTTGGAGAGGACCATTGTGAAGATACGAAAAATGGATACAACATACATGGAAGGGTACGTTTTGCCAGGTGCCGTGCCTCCTCCATCAGATTACTTCCTCGGCTTTCGTTCCTCGGGCACGCAGGTGAGTAGTTTTCTTCAATTAATTCTGCAAGAGCTTTCGGTATGGTATGGAGACCTGTGCACTCATTTAGCTTTTACAATGCAGATTTGGAGTCGACTGCGACAGGCTGGCCTAGAAACTCATCGAATCTACAATGTCGACACGAAAAGTGTCATGATCAAAGTGAGGTGCCCAGAAGACCGCTTGATGGATGTTGCCGAGGTTTTGAGAGTCAAATTGAAGACCCGCCAAGGTAAGACGCACGTTGTCGGCCATGTACGAGGCAGAGACAGATCACAACTGACTCGACTCGTCATCGCAGGTTCCTTTGCTCCTTTTCGCGAGGATTCCATTGAACAGTTTCGTCCTGTGAACGATGATTTGGAATCGCCGTTCTATCAGTACCAAGCTGCCACTCTGTTCCGCTCTTCACACCGACAGACAATCATTGATTTCATCATTGGGTCGAGGATTCGCGACTCGGGAGCGGAGCTTGGCCAGACTACCGATCTTGGCAAAATGATTTCAGCTAGAGTCCCTCTTCACGCCCCTAGGAAACTGGACAGGTTGTACACATCAATGTGTTACTTTTGGCGCAAGGAGAATTGGAGGGGACGCGACGGATGCTGCCTGCGGATTGACAAGGATCCCATGGACAAGAACATGGATTCGGTTGAATTGAGTGAAGAAGACAAGGCTGTGTTGGAACACCACATCCCGAATCTCTTCTACCGCTTTTTCATTGGAAGCTTCTTTCAACCGCTAGATTCGGTCGAGGAGTACTTTGGCGAAAAGGTTGCCTTTTACTTTGCTTGGCTGCAGCACTGCTCCTCGCACTTGCTCGTGTTGACATGCGCGGGCATGATTGTTTTTGCCTGCATGCTAGTCAGCGAAAACTGGGACCATGCAATTCGTCCCTACTGGTCAATCTTCGTCATGCTCTGGTCCTTTTCTGTTTTGATCAACTGGCGAAAGAGATCGAACTTTCTTGCCTATCGCTGGGGCACGATCGATTACAAAGAACAGGAGACGACACGCCCGCAATTCAAGGGGAACTACGTCGTTGACGAAATCACCCAAGAATGGGTCGTCACTTATCCAAAATGGAAGCGATGGGCCAAGTACCTGATAAGCCTTCCATTGACGCTTGGATTCACCTTTGGAACGCTCCTAATCATTCTCATGTTCCACGCAAATCGTGACCTTCACATGGCAAAGTACATGGAGCAGGCGTCCAACCCAGATGCTGAGCCCTTTCAATTCACGTTCTCCCTCAGCGCCATTGGCAAATCGGCCCCAACTACGGAAATCGAGATTACAAGGAAATTCTTAATGGATCCAACCTTTTTGCTCATTCTCGTCGGATTACCGAGTATTTTGGGTTTGAGTTTGCCGTTGCTCAATTTCATCCTCATGAACGTGTCCTACGTGCTGAACGATTTCGAGAACTATCGCACGCATTCCGGTAAGCAAAGGCCTCTGAATTTGCTGTCCGTGTCTATCTTCGTCATGTTTCTCACCCAGGCCATGTTTGTCTTTCTGCAGAGTACCGAACCAACTTGATCATCAAAGTGTTTTCGTTCCGGTTCATCTGTTACTTTGCCAGTCTCTACTACTACGCCTTTGTTTCGATTGGATCTGAACAAGCCATCAAAAACGGAATCGTGCGCGTCTCGTCAGGAGTTCTGGTGTACACGACGGTTGCACAATGGTGGAATCTATTTCTACAGGTGTACTTTCCTCTACTCATATACAAAATCCGTATGAGACTGAGACGCAAACGACTGCTGGAAGCATTGGCAGAAGTCGAGATGGAAGAAGCCGATTTACTCAACAACCCGCAGGAAAGCGAAGAAGTAGACAGCAAGAAAAGACAGCTGCGTTTGGTGAACAAGCGATTACTTTTGGAACAGGCCCAGGACGAGACTTGGCTTGAGTGTCTCAGACCAGAGCACGACAGTTTCCCAGAGTACATCGCGGCAGTTGTGCAGTTTGCCTACGTCACTTGCTTCAGCGTCGTTCTTCCAATTACTCCCCTCATCTGTCTCATCAACTACCTGGTATGCATGCGGCTTGACGCCTACAAAGTGTGCAAGGTGAGGCGACGACCATTGTCCGAGAAGACAGGAGGAATCGGCGTTTGGGAGCACTTGCTTCACATTGTGGTTGTGATTGCCGTCCTGACAAATTGCTGGCTCATGGGATTCACGCATCACCAATTCCTCTGGATCGGAGAGGAGCTTGGGAACGTAACCGTCTTTTTGATGGTCGTAGGGGCCGAACATGCACTACTGTTGGTGAAGTATGTCATGCATGCTACCTGTTCAACGCTGCCCAAGTCTGTCAAAGACGACATGAGGCGGGAGCAATACCAGCAAGCCCGTCACAGAAATGAAGTCTTGCAAGAGAAGAAGAGACGATCCCAGTTCCAAAAGGCATCTAGTTTCCGTCGTTCTGGCACCACCATGGACTCTGATTTTCCTGGAGACATTACGGACGACCGGACTCGGTTGAGCGAATTTTAGGTGGCTTTGTCTCTATACTTTATGTGTTCTAAAGAGTTGTCTCTTTCGTTGAGTGCCGGTATTGTGTCTCTGGTATGGTTCCATGGTTCCAGTGTAAAAGTGTAAAAAACCGCTAATGTAGCTATTGCTTACAACTGAACATCTACTGAGTAACTTGTAGCAAGCATCGATGTCTGACGAAGTGCCCGCCATGTCATTGCACTGATCTGCTGTACCGGTACCGTACCGCCGGTATCGTGGCCTTTTGGCAAAGAGTAGTGATTGTCAAAGCTACAGTACCGTTTCGAATGGCGAAGGCAAGCTAAACGTTACAGCTGTACAGCGGAGTCCTCACTATAAAATACTAGCTTTTTGATATCTCGGACCGTCAGTCTTCAGCATTCCATCCACTTGCTCCTGATACCGGTACGGTTCCAACATGGGCCTCTCAATGATGCGTAATCAGGCGTGTGGCCACCACCTTAAAAGAGCCCAATGACGTCCCCTGTCTCCAAGTCAACATCCACATCATAGAATCCAGGTCTTGTTGGCAAACCGGGTACCGTCATAATCTCTCCACAAATTGGGTAAAGGAAGCCAGCACCTGCACAACTTCTGATTTCACGAACGGTAATGTTGAATCCAGTTGGCACTCCCTTGGCCGATGCATCACAACTGAAGGAATATTGGGTCTTCGCAATGCATATTGGCAAGTTTCCAAAGCCTGACTTTTCATACTGTTCGATTTGTCTTCGTAGGTACACGGGCAGAAGTGCAGGGTGAGAAAGAGGTCTGCTCGCTGACACTGGGCTTGCCACGAGTGGTCCTTTCATATTCATACTCACTTGTTTGCCAAGTCGGCGAATTCCACGCCGTCAGCACCGTAGATTTCCTTGCTAATGATTTCAATCTTCTCCTTAATCGTTTTGTTGACATCATACAAGAACTTGAAGTTTGCAGCATCGTTGTCGTTGCACGCCTTTACAACTGCGGCAGCCAAGTCAGCAGCTCCTTCGCCTCCTTTGGCCCAGTGATTGGAAAGCACCGCATCGTACGCTCTAGAGTATATTGCGGAAGAAGAAACGGAGCAAACAGGTTGTCAGTTACATGCATGAAGACAAAGCAACTCGAAGGCGTAAAAGACGGATCTTACCCTGCGTCCATCGACGCCTTTTTCACTGCCTCGATTTCGGCGGGTGTGTCATTCTTGAACTGATTGACAGCGACGACTACATTGACGCCAAACTTCTTTGCGTTCTCAATGTGCTTCACAAGGTTGGCTGCGCCCTTGGTGACAAGTTCCACGTTTTCCTCGGTGTATTCCTTGCTGAGCGGCTTTCCGGCACTGACTGGTGGGCCTCCTCCATGCATCTTCAATGCACGCACGGTGGCGACGATCACAGCACACTTTGGTTTCAATCCCGAGTATCTGCACTTGATGTTGAAGAACTTTTCCATTCCAATGTCAGCTACATGGTAAGAAAGGTCAACTGTGAGGCGAAGGACCAGCGCATGGCAACAGCAAGCTGCCAGGGACGTTCCAAGCAAGTTTTCACATACCTCCAAATCCAGCTTCAGTGACGCAAAAGCCGTCCTGGCCGACCAACTTGAGGGCAATTTCATCAGCTACGACACTAGAGTTGCCAGTTGCAATATTGGCAAATGGACCCGCATGAACCAAAACAGGTGTGCGTTCGACGGTCTGCATTAGAGTCGGCATGATGGCGTCCTTCATCAAGACGGCCAATGCACCGCCACATCCCAAATCATCGGCTGTAATGGGCTTTCCAGCACGCGAGTATCCTATCACCATTGCTCCAAGCTTTTCTCGTAGATCTGCCAAATCTCTGGCCAATGCCAGGACCGCCATCACTTCCGAAGCAACTGTGATGTCAAATCCAGACTTTCGGCAGTGCTGAATACGCCCATCACCGCCTTTGGCTTTTACAGTTTCCTTGGCACCAATGCCCACTTGCACTTCCTGGGAGATCCAGGAAAAACGATCCGTGAGGGGACGCTACCAGCATGATGAGGGGGGCACACAACTTCCTCACTTACCCGCAAGTGCCTATCGCAAGTGTCCAAAACACGCTGCCATGTGATGGTATCCGGATCAATGTCAAGGCGAGCAAATGCACTACGCTCCTCAGCAGTCAAATCTGCTGGTTTCTTTGTGGCGTCAATTCCGAGCTTTTTCAACCTTCGCTTCATGACAGGGCTAAACCCCTTCCCTTCCGGACATAGACGTTTGTACAATGCTTCGTCGGATTGACTGCATTCATGGAACATTCTGGTATCAATGGCGGCAGCCAATAAATTGTTGGCAGCTGTCACGGCATGAATATCTCCCGTCAAATGCAAATTGAATTCTTCCATGGGAACGACTTTTATCGAACATTTGAAAGATAGGAAATGAGCAAGCGACGAAGCAATCGTATATTCACAATTTTAAAAAGATGCCTTGGATTGATTACCTTGGGCATAACCTCCTCCAGCAGCACCTCCCTTGATTCCAAAGGTGGGTCCTTGAGAAGGCTGACGAATACAAGCAATAGTAGGCTTGCCCAGCACAGCACCCAAAGCCTGCGCCAATCCAATGGTCGTAGTCGATTTTCCTTCTCCCAGAGCTAAACATGAAAATAAAGAAACACGAAATTTAGGAACATAATCGTCGCATCTCTGTGCAAAACCACAACAAATTACTTACGGGTGGGATTGATTCCAGTAACAACCACATAGTTTCCATCGGGCAAGTCTTTACGACTATCTCGTGCTTTGAGAGGAATCTTGGCCTTGGCAATTCCCCAGGGAATCACTTCGTCATCTTTCAGACCAACCTGCTTGGCAACGTCTGCAACGGGAAGAAGCCCCACTTCCTTTACGATTTGTTGGCTCACTTCAATATCCGAAGGAACTGGCGTCTTGGGAGCGAGCTTGGCGTAGCCCAATGCATTTTTATCTTCTGACATTTTCGGTAGCTTTGTACTTTGATCAAAACTTACTATCCAAAACGCTGAAGTCTAGAGAGAGTTGGCTTCGATAAGTTACTGTTAATGGAAGGACCCTTCTTTCACTTGGTATCTGTCTATCTGTGGATGCGTTGAAGCGTTGTTTACATGTACATCTGGCTGGATGTCATTGCAGAGTCAAGAACAGTTCGGGCTTTGTTGAAAAGATCCAAAGGCGCAAAAAACACGTCATCGTTTTGAAGGTTAGGGTTTTGCGCGGATTGCATTGGCGGAACAGAAGACAGGATGCTTTCTATCACAGCTCCTTTTGGGTTGGATGGAAGGATGACTGTGCTGCAACAACTCGTAGCTATAGCTAGCTGCCATCTTTGTGAAGCAAAGAGATGCCAAGGTAGCATCAGATATAAGAAAGCCTGGTGCCTGGTCAGCTGCACCTAACCGTACCAGAAGAGTTACCGGTAGGTTGCTCCACATCACTTCGGCCTGCTGTCAACGAGATAGCCAGCATTGCGCATTGATCATCGATTCTGATTCGATTCACAAGGACCACCTGAAACCAATCCATAAAAGCACAAAAAGAGATCTCACGAAAAGCCTATTAGAGGACATTTATTTTCTGCTGACCAGAATATCACGCCAGGGCCCGGCAAGAGCACCTGCCAGCCATCATTCTATCAATGTTGTGCCTTCATAACTGCATCCCTCCTGTACAACAGGGAAGAGATCCCCTGTAAAGATACCCATATCCAGCAAGAGTTGTTCCATTTCTGCAAGAGTATCATTGCTGGCAATTCTTGCCCTTGTCAAGAGCCAAAGCCCTGTTCCACTGGTGTCTGCTATGGCTTCTGCTGAAACATTGATTCTAGTGGTACACAATGGTGGGTCAATTTGTCGAACAGTCTCGGGTTCACCTCCGCTGATAATGGCCCAGGAGTCATCCGCAGCAACTGCTAAAACCCAGAGTGGGATACCCACTTTCCCCAACAGGGGCCGCAATAGGCAGGGAGAAATCCGCAGATACCCTCCACCATGTTCGTCTTGTCCAGAACACCAACTTGATAAGGCTGGTGGTAAAGCATCAAAACCAACATCCCACTCCTGTTGTGGTCCGTCAATGCTGCCAACGGTTCCAAAATGAAGATAATCAAAGAATTCATCTTCTGTGCGATTCAGCCAGGTATGGACCAGGCAAAAGAAATCATCTTCCACAGAAGGCTGAAAGCCATTCACTTGTTGCTTTTGCACAAACCAAGAGCGCTCAATGAACCGTTGCATATCAAAATCAGTTGATTGATTACTCAATGGTTGCACCAGTGGACAGGTCACATTGAAGCCATTTGTATGGTTGTCACAAGGGTGATCAGGGGCAGTCTCATCAAAGAAGGAACAAAACCAATGTGGCAATGCCAAGCCTCGTTCCTTTGGCGTCGATGCTTGCCGCAAGTACTTGGTGGTGGCTGTCAACATGGCATCATCTTTCACTTCACCTTCTGAGCCACCGACAGAAGGACAACGAACCACAAGGCTACCCAACAGCAGCCAAAGATGGCAAACTTCCATCCTTGTTATCCTCATGGCGTCTTTCTTGTGTCTGTCTTTTGCTTGTTATGGTTTCATTGGCGGTTTACGAGTGAAGGAGGATTGACCTTCGCTTTTGTTGGCGGTCTGCGCTCGGCGGGACACTTATGGTCGATCGTACGGAACACAGAGGTCTGCACTAAATCTTTATCGTGTGCTTTCTAAATCCTTGTGTCCAAACATTGCCAGTCGACCAATGGTACATGTACCGTACTGCTCTCGCACAAATTTGCTCCTGGCTGCTTGGACAAACGATACCGATTGGGTGAAGCGAGCGGAGAGAATTGAGTTACCAGGTTACCGGTACTAGTACCTTCTCGTGGTATGGATGCAGGTACACCGACCTCCAGCACGAATCACACGAACTAAGGTGGCTCCACGTAGGATCGACGCCGTACCGGTACCGCTGGGTGGCGGCTGCATCCTCGGAGGTGGTCAACCGAAGCTTCTCGTAAGGATGAATTGGAGGATCAACTACGTCTAATCTGGGAGCCAAATACGAAAGAGGCAACTTGATTTTCATGCTCCCCTCTCTCTGCACAAAAAATAGGCAGTTACTGTGGCATTGTATATTCTTTTGCTTTTGTTCCCAGCAAAACTCATGGTTGCGTAGCTACATCATCTCCCAACGTAGCTTTAAGCCAATCAGCAACTGTTCTTTTGTATGAACTGGCTCTAACGTGAACTTGGTCCTTACATTTAGTAGGTACGAGGAAGCACTCTCACACAACATTTTCTTCACTAGTAGTTTTCATTCATAGTATCACAACAGCAACTGTTGGTCTCTAGAGGCGCTCGTTTCGTACGCGCATAGCCTGTTTCGTCTTGCATCAATTTCCTGCATTACAAGGAATCCAAATAGGACTGGAAAGGTCTACCTATGCATACCTCTTTCTTCTGCTCGATCTCTCGTTGTACTCTTGGCCAGGCCAGAGAGGTCACGTCCCTACCAGGGGTCACGGACAGCGACATCCATTGTTCCCAATGATTCCGGGCCAACGGGCTGACCAACGGCTCTGCTTCCAGTGCAGCTGCAGCCTGAGCAGCATGGAGCTTGGCTTTGAGCTGTGCCTGCCTTTTCTCCGTTTCCTAGAACGATTAAAAAAAATAGGAAAAAGCTGATCAGACAGAGCCCAGCTGGCCTCCAGTGGCTGTACCGGAAAGCACTAGATGGCCTACCTTGCACCGGTTTCCAGTAGGTGAATTGTTGAAGGAATAGTCATAGTTGGTGCCAAGAGAATCCCACTCCACAGCTGAATCTCTCATCCCATCATCTTTGGGCCAGGGCGTGACCAAAACTTGAATGTTCTTCGCCTCGTTATCCGACTGCTTCTGGAGCTTCGCTTGTTCATTGGACTGGACCAATTCTGGTGGCATCCTTCGGTGGATACGCGAGGTGGGAGAGATATTGAACGTCAAATCATAGTTCGTATCGAGCAGTGCCATCTCGCCGGACATTTCTTGCATGTAATCGTCGGGGGCATCGGGCATTCTTTTTGCTTGAGGCTTTGGCTGGAACTGGAAGGCCACCAGTCCCTCCACAGAGATCAAGGCGCCGATAAAGATGGCTTGGAGAGTTGTCATGGGCATTGAGAGCGTTCACAGATAGCGGGGAGCCATCAACAGTCGACTTCACAAAAATGAGATGTGTCTCTCGGCTGATCATCACCTGCTTTCAAGCGAGAAGAAGGATCCATCGATGACGTGGATTTTGAAGCAACTCAATTGGTGGAAGACACGTCATTGTTCCGTTGATGGAGTCGAGTCAAGCTAGCTGCGTCGAGTGACTGAGTCTCACCCACAGCGGTACTTTGGAACCCGCAAGCGGAATGAATGCCTATTACTCCCTTCGTCTAGCCTAGCTAGTTCTCAGTCAAGGGCGCTTTAGACCTTTACCTACTCCTAATAATGCATTCACAGCTTTGTGCTGTGGTTGGCAGATCGCAAGGACCCCTTTCAACATTTGATCATCCATCTGCTTCGAGAGGAATTTAGCTGCCCCTTTGCCCACCAAGTGACGACGCTCGAGGGTCGAAACCGCATTGGGAAGCGTTGTCGATACAAAGCAATGCTTCTGCATCTTCTTTGCGGGAAGATGTCGGCACCATCTTCAGCGCTGCTGCAGCCCCAGACAAAACGTTAGCAGCCGTATTGGCAGTTGCCGTGGCTCCTGATGCCACTGTGTTCACCGTAGCAGTAGCGCCTGCAGCGAGCGCATTGGCACCTGAAGCGAGCGCATTGGCACCTGATGCAACCGTGCTCACGGTGGCTGTAGCACCTGAAGCAACCGTGCTCACCGTCGCTGTGGCTCCTGACGCAAGTGCGGTCGCGCCTGATGCAACCGTGCTTACCGTCGCTGTAGCACCCGATGAACACATGTTCACCGTCGCTGTGGCGCCAGATGCAAGTAGTGCGGTAGTTGCTGTGGCGCCGGATGCTGCTAGTACGGTCACCACTGTATCAGTGACCAACTTGGGCGTCATTGAAAATCGAGACTTTTGGATGGCAACGATATCGTGGTCATGGTTCCCGCAACTGCATTCGTCCATGCGTTCTGGCTCGCTCTCATCTACTTCATCGATCACACTTTCGTCGTCACGCAGACCTCCTTGCGTTGACACCCACCGTTCCATTTGACACTTGAGAATGTCATCACCGTGAAGGCCTTTGTGCCTTCGCGATCTTTCATGGTGCTTGTGATTCTTCAAAGAAGGTCTTGCAGAGCTGCCATCCAGATGCTCCCGATGTTCTCTTGATTCCAAGTTTGCAGCACCTGCACTAACGCCTCTGTGTATGCCGGCCTTAGGACGCGAAGGCAACGTCATCTTTGGATCGCTATCAGCCCTGTCCGGATGCTCCCGATGTTCTCTGGAGTCCAAGTTTGCAGCACCTGCGCTAACGCCTCTATGCATGCCGGCCTTGGGACGTGAAGGTAACATCTGTTTTGGATCGTTGTCTCGACGCGGTTCGCTGCATTTCGTGCAGCGCCTACTTTTAAGTGCGTGCGCCTCCCGTGCACTCGTCGCCTTTTTCAAGGATGGCCTTGTGTTTTGCGGGGCATCAGTTTGATCCTCGCTGTGTTTCTTGGGCTCCGAATCCGCATCACCTGCACTAGGCTTTGGTGACCGCGTCCGTGTCCGTGTCGTCGAATGCTTATACTCAGCGGCAAAACTCAAAGACCTATGCATTTCAGGCATGGGGGTCACCAGATTTATTGCTTCAGAAGCCCGCTTGCGTGTTGCATCACTCATTCGTGGGCGGGGGCTGAGCGATCGGCCGCCAGTCCCCTTTCCGCGCGGGTGCAATCTTCGTCTTGAAGACCCAGCTTGTTCCGAAGAGTCCACGCAACCTGCATTGTCACCCATGCTGGATTTTCGAGACTTCATCTTTGACGTTGAGGCCGATACACGCCTGTGTTCGTGGTCGTCGTCCGATCGGGGACTCACTGATCGTTGACGGTGCATCCGACGTTTATCTGTCGAGAGCCTTTTGGGTTCTGCTTGTCCTTCCAGTGGCATGGAACGCCTCTCCAGACTGTAGTCACGAGAACATTTGCCATGAGGGCTAGTACTGCGAGTCCGGCGTCTGTTCGGTGACTCGGAGCGCCTGGTTCCAGAACGTCGCCCGCACGTTGAATTGGCCATGGCAGAGTCATGGTTGTTTTCGTGATTGTCGGTATCCGAAATTCTTGTCCAATGCAACTCTAGAGCAAACCCAGGTTGTTTGTCTTCCCCAGCAGGTTTTGGAGATTTGGAACGAACAGTTCTCGAATGGCGGCCTCCAGTTGAATTCACCATAGAGGAGCTATCCATGGATTTTTGACTCTCCTCTGGTTTCTCAGGTTGTTTGTCATCCCCAGGGTTTTTTGGATACTTGGAGCGCATAGTTCTTGAATGGCGGCCACCACTTGAATTCACCATTGAGGAGCTATCCATGGATTTTCGAGTCTCCTCTTTCCCAAGTTGTTTGTCATCCCCAGGGTTTTTTGGATACTTGGAGTGCATAGTTCTTGAATGGCGGCCACCACTTGAATTCACCATTGAGGAGCTATCCATGGATTTTCGAGTCTCCTCTTTCTCAAGTTGTTTGTCATCCCCAGCAGGTTTTGGAGATTTGGAACGACTAGTTCTTGAATGGCGGCCGCCACTTGAATTCACCATTGAGGAGCTATCCATGGATTTTCGAGTACCCTCTGGTTTCTCAGGTTGTTTGCCAGCCCCAGGAGGTTTTGGAGACTTGGAACGCATAGTTCTCGAATGGTGGCATCCAGTTGAATTCACCATTGAGGAGCTATCCATGGATTTTTGACTCTCCTCTGGTTTCTCAGGAGCACCCTGTTGTGAAGCACCAGCCGAATAGTCTAATGTTCCTCCTGATGGCTTGCGTAGCTTGGAATGCCTGGATTTCTGCCAGTTGCTTTCTGTTTTCTGATGAGAACGACGTTTGCTGCTCTGATCCATACCATCATGGATTTCTTCCGGACTGCTGTCTATGTGACGAGCATTCTTGATGACTCGTCTGGTGGAAGTGGACTTTCTTGATCGGCTGACAGCCATTTCATTGCCATCACTATTGGACCCTTCATCATCTTTGGGGCTATCATGTTCTCGAGTTTGCTCGGCCTGGTCAGGATCACAGTGTTGTGGAGTAGCAGCCGAACAGGCTAATGTTCCTCCTGATGGCTTTCGTAGGATTGGGGACTTGGAATGGTTGGGTTTCCGGTCACTTTCAGTTTTTCGACGACGAGAACGACATTTGCTGCTCTGATCCATACCATCATGGATTTCTTCTGGACGGCTGTCTGTGTGATTGGCATTCCCGCTGACTCTTTTGGTGGAATCGGAAATACCTCTTGCGGTCATATCATCACTATTGGAATCTTCTTCTTCGTTGGGGCTGTCGTGTGAGAAGAAGGCATCAAAGGCGTCAAATTGGGCCGGTTCCGCTTCCATGGAAATGCGGGGGAGGGAGAGGGATTCACCGTCGGAAGCTGAAGAGTTTTGAGAGCTTCGGAAAGCGTGGTAGCGATCACTCAGCTCCTTCTTACAAAAAGGGATGGAACGAGGTATCGGTATAAAACTGCTGGTATGCATGCTTAGATTGTTGCTGTTTCTGTCGGAAGAAGACAAGGAAAAGTATTATAAGAGGACAGCAGAATCTTTTGTGTGTTGTTGTGTTGTTGTGGTTGGAGATACAAGCAGGGTACCGGGAGCGAGTGGACTCTGAGACTCGTCACTCGGTGGAGTGAGGGGAGTGAAGGGTGAAGCGTGAGGAGTACTACTAGCTAGTACCAGTACAGTCGTAGACAGTAGCTGGATGGCATCTGGTGGACAGTGGTTCGCTATGTCGTCGGTGCCCTGCCGCATTCATGGTTTCACATTTATTTATTTGGCTAGGTAATGAGGTGATCCATCACTCGTTTCTTTGTTTGCTCTTTGCTGACTCCAGTGGCAGTGTCATTTAATTAAGGCAAATATCCAGGTTCAACATAAGAAGCAATCCATGTAATCCGTGTGCGTCAGGCTGATTAAATCCTTTACTCGAGTACTAGTAGGCGAAAAGAGAAGCTGTTTTCACACTATTAAATACTGCTTTCTTAATTTTGCAGTGTCATCTGTTTTTGTACTGTTCTCCGGATTCCGGATTACAAATAACGTACGACTGTACTCGAGTACAAAGAATTAATGTCGATGAGTTAGTGGGTCAGCTTCAGTTCCATTCATGGTGACCTGGTCACTTTTGTCTATCTATCTTTAAATCTGCAAAACCATTCATTCCTACCTCACATATAAGATAACTCCATTCTGAGTCCTGCGGTGGATGTATCTTATTTTAAAATTAAAAGAATCCATCAACAGGCACACTGAGTCATTATCTTATAAGCAGCCAAATCTCAGTATCTTTCATATCTTATACCCACTAGCAGCTATTGTCGCTATTGTCACATGCCCTACTACTAACCCTGCCCTCAGATAGTGAGGAGCCACAACCAAAGCCACAAAAGGCAATGGTGCAGAGCCAAAATTGACGAAACCAAAGATCTTGGAGTAAAGGAGGCACCCAAAATGGGGATTTGGAGGACTTGCATGTAGATGGTGATGTGGAAAATAGTGGGTACTGGCTGTTCTCACTCCCAGCACAGTAGTATTAGCTTACGATTTGAGACGTTGGTACTTGTAGCTTATCTTACTGGTTTGGGAAATCTGAGTGTCCAGATTATCTAAATATTTCTGTGAATCTGAGTACTCGGTATCTTAAACCCACTTATCTGAAGTGTGAGTGAGGAGTGTTAGCTGTCCCCGCCACCACCAGCCACCAGCTCACCAATCAATCCAAGATCCAAGCGCTCAACTTTTCTTGATGTCAACATGTCAACGTGTTTTCAACGTGGAAGACGGCACTGTACCGTACGGTATGCTCAACTGTACCGTACCGTAAGCTACCTCGTACGGTAGTTTGTACGTAGCATTTGGTACCGGTGGGTGATGAGCAGTGGAGAAGCTTGATTGCCGAATGAGTGAGTGACAGTCTCAGAGCTGGCCATACTGAAAGGGCTCGAAATGGCGATTTACACCAAATTCCGATTTATACTTGTGTTTCGATTTTATATTTAGGTTTCGGTTTTATATTTTGGTTTCGATCTTATATTTTGGTTTCGGCTTGATTTTACTAGTTAATTACCATAGTAATTTGGTTTCGATTTTATATTTAGGTTTCGGTTTTATATTTAGGTTTCGGTTTTATATTTAGGTTTCGAATTGATCAATTTGGTTAGATTCATAAAATCGTGATTTCCGGCCCTTTCACTGGTATACCCATTGGCGCTTCCAAAATTCCCACTGAGGTTCTCTCGAGTTCTCTTATTCTCATGCGACCTGGAGGGCCTCCGGTGACACCATGATGACGTCACTATACACTCCAAAGTTTGGCGAGTCGCGAGGAGTCGCGACTAGCCGTTTAAAGGCGCGCGACTCTACGCGGGTTCTATAACGAATCCTTGCAACTCCACACGACTCCACGCGACTCCTCGCGACTCCTTCATTAATTACTAGTATTATTAATATTAATATATACAACATGTGTCGCGACTCCACGCGACTCCACGCGTCTATATGCGACTTTAAACGCGACTGATCCCGACTGTGCGCGACTGCGCGCGACTGCGCGCGACTGCGGTCGCGACTGCACTCGCGCGACTGGTAATCGGTTGGGATCGCCAAAAAGCCACGTCACCAGAGGCCCTCCAGGAGTGACAGTTCTGCGTTCCCAGAATCCAGAATGGCGCCAACTCCGAAGTCCCGCATACCAGGTACCGGTACCGGTTAGGTATCGCAGCATCTGCACTTTTCATCAGCAGTCACCGAACGTACAGTGAAGATACCGGTACCCAGTGTGACAATACGAGTACTGACATCTTGGGAAGGCAATCTGCATCATCAGCCACAAATCTGACCTGAGGCACAATTTTTTCTTTGAGAAAATCAACGATGACCATGACCAGGAACAACAGCAGGAGCAAGCTCTTCCTTGCGCTGTTGGCTCTCTGTTTTCTGTCTTTCTTTGCGTCTCCCGTGGCGGCCGAGGCGGCTCTTTGGAACCTGGAAGATGACGAATTTGCCAGTCTTGACGATGATGTGCTTCCTTTGGATACAGCTGCCGCCAGTTCCGCGAAAGAACATCCCAAGGCCAGGTTTTCGTTTTTGAGAGGTCGACACTTGCAGTCTTCGGCCACCACCTCTGAAAGCGTCAACATTTGGCAGAAACTCAAAGAATCAATCGGTTTGACCATCGTTGGGTGCATCCTCATCTGTTGCATGCCCTTTGTCATCTACAAGAATGAGGGGAGGCACGTGACCGAGCTAGCCAGGATTACTTATTGCAAAAATGAAGCCACTTTGGTGGATTGGTGAGTTGAGTTAGTTCTGCCCTGCCATACTGGTCGAGTCTGAACCTCAGAGGACCAATTTTCATGATCCCTTCTGACAATATTTACTTTGTTGTTTCCAACCCAGTTCTGCCCCAGGAGATGAAACTATGGGTAAACTGGTTCACTTTTCAGGTCAAGTTACTGTAGGCGATGGATTTTTGGATTTCAGTAACGGCGACGAATCAGCACAATCGGCATTGAACATTATTGAGCCACTCCCTAATGCTATCTTGCTGAAGCGAACATGTTACATTTACCAAAAATTTGAACAGTCACAGCAAACTACCGATAAGAATATGGTGGGGGGCGGCGAAACGAGAACCACCACGTACACTGTCACAGAGGATTGGACCCCCATGGGACCCGAACCGCCAGCACTACCACATTTGCCAAACGAAACCAATAGTCGTGGAATCTGGGATCAACTGGTAACTGCTGCGGGACGACCGAGTGCCGCTCCATCGCAACAGCCCAACGACCTTGCCGCAGCTTTAGGTCTGGTTGACATGTCGCAACCTCCACAGGCTGAAACAGTTTCACCTGCCACACGTGTGGGAGCTTTTGGTCTTTCCAAGGAGGTCGTGTTGGCTTATCCACAGGTCTTCTCGGACAGCCTCCAGCCTGTGCCCGGTGATGTCATTCCTGCTCAAGTTGCTGGGTGTGATGGTCTCATGAAAGGGTCCGACAATATCCTGCGAACATTTCCGGAAGGCCAACAACCCCAGAATGGAGACTGCAAAGTGGTTTACGAGTTTGCTGCCGACGGATTTGACAGTTCATTTGTGGTACAGCAGGTTCCCAAAGCTGCGGATGGAGAAGCCAAGTTTGGCATTGACAAAGCAAGGGTAATCGAGAAGAAATGCCTTGGGTGCGAAAATGATCTTGGGGACATTTGGATGGTTCGAAAAGGACGTATCGGCCTCCATGAAATGTTGGATATGGCCAGGGAAGATGAAAAGAAAATTCTCTACTTGATCCGCGCGGTGGGCTGTGTATTGCTATTGGCCGGATGGATCATGTTATTTTCTCCCTTTGTCACTGCTCTGCAGGTTTTGCCCTTGCTGTCACAACTTGGATACTTTGCGGTCGTTTTGACGGCTTTGATTGTGAGTACCCTCTGTTGCCTGACAGTTACCATTGTAGCTTACATCCGCTACAGACCCGTGCTGGCCATTGGTCTTTTGGCTCTGGCTGGTGCAATCTGGGGTATTGTAGCTTGGAGACTCAATGTCGCGGCTGAGACGGGTGGCGGTAATTAGCCTTTACCGCCACGTGAGAGAGAAATGGGTTGTTCTGCGCAATGAACAGAGATTGACGAATGAAAACTACAAGAAAAGGAACCAGCAAGCAACATTGTCTGCATTTGCATTGAGGTTTCTGGACGCTGGATGTACGTGTAAACCGTAGAATTGAATACTACTTGCCTAGTTACTCGGTTGCTCTCGGAGGATAGGTAAGCCTTAGAGTTGAATTGTACGGTACTTTCCCCCTCATTCTCTTGGGTGAGCCGGTTGCCATGGCTGTGCCCGGGCAGCTGCCTCTTTTAAGTTGGGCTTTTGGATTTCAGCTGATAGACATGGGCTGTTTGGCAGAAAGCGTTATTCGTTTCTGTTTCAACAGAGTTTTGTCTTTGCTTGGCGAAGCAGCAGGACATGTAACAGCACAAGCAATCATTGTGAATGGTGCTGACTTGTCCCCTGTCCCAAGGAAGCGTGAAGGTCACCTGTGCACGACTCCTAGCTTTGCTGGTTTGTAGCTTCAGTCCAGGCTCAACGCACAAAAATTTCGTAGCAGATCATTTCTTTCGCGAGAGAGGAACTCAATTACATCAAAACACCAGCCGTAAACTAGTCTATTGCTAGCCAGCCAGAGCGAAAAGGGCAGCAGCTAAACACCATGGGAAACAGAAAAGCCAGAAATACAAGGAAGAGGTGCAATGAGATTGAAAATGGCGACTACCGGAACAGCTACTTACGATGGATCCCTCTCACCTTTCTTGTTGCGGTCGGTCTGCTAGGGACACCCTCCCGATACCAAAACTTCAATCAATGGAAGAATTTTCTGGAAGGCCAGCTTGATCGCTTGCGCGAAGCATCAGTGGTCCGACAGCTCTCCATGAACGATTTGGTCTTGCACAGTGTGAATGCTACGACGCTGGTAGAAGATGATGGACCCAGCACAAAGACAAATTTTTGCAGTTTTGCTGAAGTCGAAGAAGGCCAATGGGTGAAGAAACTATATCCCGAGCCCCACTATCTCCCTGCATCAAGACATAAGCAATGCCCAAATGCCTTACCTGGACAAAACTGGACGACTTGGGAGTGGCATCCATCAGCAAGCTGTGAATTTGCCCGTTTCGATGTCGACAGGTTTTGCCAGCTGGCGCAGAACCAAACGATTGCCTTTGTTGGTGATTCTATTACCTTGGATATGTATCTTTCTGTGACACACCTGCTGGGGGTCCCAATGGCATTGCCCCCACCTCGAATGGGTCATGTCAAACTCATCAGTCAAGTTTGCAAAACACAAAACGTCACATTAATTGGACAACGTGACTACTTTCTGAAACTCATTCAAGATGTGGCAACATCAAAAGAACACAATGTGCCCAATGTCTTGGTTCTCAATCGAGGTGCTCACTATGTGGATGACAACCTGTTGTTGCATGACATGAACAACACTGTCATTCCGCATATTTTGAACTGGCACCAACAGTGTCAACTAGCCTATGGAAGCGATCGAAAGTAGCTGGTTGTATGGCGTACCACTGTTCCTGGACACCCCCTTTGTGGAGAGTACAAGGAACCCATTGACTCTGCTGAGGTAATTGAAGATCTGATTCTCGCAAAGGCAGATCCTCAGGCCAATCACTGGGAAGACTTTCGACGGCAGAATCAACTTGTTTTGGACAACTTTCAAAGGCACAAGTCACCACTAGCCAGCCAAATCCCAGTGCTTCCAGCCTACCAAGTCAACATTCTGAGGCCGGACCTTCATGCCAGTGGGCGAGACTGTTTGCATTCGGTAAGTGCAGTATGAGGCCTTGTTCAGTTCAGGATAGGTCGTTCGTGAGCATCACCAAGCAAGCAAGAAATGTGTCGCACTAACTCTGTTTTCGTTTTGGTTGCAATGTCACGCGATCAGTGCTCCCCAGGAGACGAAGTCTTGAGTGAGATGTTGATGCACGCTATGCGGCTTCACAACGAACAATAATGTGCTACCGGTCTTGGCTAGACATGGCTTCCACAGAAGTAAGCTTGCTACCCCTTGACACCACAAGTAGGCTTATTGTTTGCAATCGTTCCACTGGTAGAGGAAACCGATGAATAATTCAATCATCCGTCGAGCCCAGCCAGGGCAAGTTGCAGACAGGTTTTTGTCACATGGTGACCCTCTTTACCACCGGCATGCAACAATGAATCAACTGATTCATATAGAATCGAATGATCATTCAATCAACGTCAATCTGTTTTTAGGGCCACAGTAAGCCAGTATTGCCGGGCAAATCAAAAGTTTTGTGAACCTAGTTTAGCCACCAATGACAAAAGTGACAGTAGTAAATTTATGGGTACTTGGTACCTCTCTCTCTGGGGCCGGCAGTCGACCCTTTCCATGATTTGTTGGTTGTTGCTTTGGGTGCTCTTTTCATACGAGTGTCAAACTCGGGAAAGAATACACGCCATTGCAGCAGCAGACTTGACTTGTCTAGAACGTGGGTCCTTGAATGGGTTTCTTGGGAGCGGCTGGTCGATTGGATGGCGTATCTCGCGGCGACGGTCCAAAGGTAGTATTGTTGTTTTGTGCGGCGGAAAAAATCCGTGCCGACGCCGCCGCACGAGTAAAGACATTGGCGGCCGACGTGGCCGTGTCGGATGCTCCCTTGGCAAAATAATTGGCTGTTGCAGCAGCTCCTTCACTGGCCATGGCGGCGGTTTGGTAGGCACTGGCCGCCGCTTCAGTCACGAGTTTGGGTGCGGTAATTTTGGGTGCGGTAATTTTCGGAGCCGCCACGGTGGAGAAACCCAAATAGGACTTGACGGTATTGCCATTGGCGTCGGTGGTGGTTTGGATGGGACCACGATTTTTACTGCGGCCGTTGTTACCACGTTCATCTTCTGTCTCCACGTCGGTTCCATCTTCCAATTCTTCGAGCATTTTATCCTGGAGACGCAAACTGCGTTCCAACTGTTTCATGTGAATGCCTTGTCCGTCGATTCGTTTTTTGGGTGCCTTTTTGCGGGTGCTGCGTTTGGGATTAAAGTCGGCACCACCACGGTCCTCATCGGAATCCGAGTCGTCGTCATCATCGCCATCGAGTAATCCTTCATCGAGAATATTACTGACCGATCCCAAACTCATGGCACTTGGACTATGGAACAAGTCAGCACTGCTACCATGTTCGTCAATACTGACATCCATCTGCGACGATCCATCCCCCGCAGAATGCCGCAATTTGTTGGCCGATTCTCGCACCCGCGCCCGACGAATGGCCAAGGGCTCATCGGCCGTGTGCACACGACGAAAGGGCGCCGCTTTTTGCCGACGCTGGGAAATGACCCCACTGCGACTCCACGACATGTTCATTTCATCTTCTACTAACTGATTCTTATTGGTGGTGGTTTGTCGAGGACTGCGTTGATGACGATGATGATGACGTCCACTGCTATTGTCCATGGACCGGGCATTGCCTCGTTTGGGAGATGAGTTTTTGGGGGATGTGGAGCGGGAAGCCCGCAAGCGTCGTTCGGACGAAAACGGCGATGTGGGAGATCCCGTCGAAGCGGAGACTTTGGGATCTCGTTCGCGGCGTCGGGGACGACGTTCTCCTGTGGACGACATCTTGGGAGGAAGTCCTTTCGGATCGTCTTCGGCCAATATTTTCAGGGCTTGTGCCGTGGGAGAATTGGAACGGGAACGATCTCCCATTAAATTTCGGTTGGATGTCGACGATTTTTCGGTTTTGGGAGACAGAGATCGAGCCGCCTTTAAACGACGCTCGGATGACTTGGTCGTACTCGTAGTAGTAGAATCTCCCAAGGCACCACGTCGAGTGGCGGGAGATCTGGGTTCTCGTCGGGAACGTCGTTCGTTGGGAGGAGTGCCATTAGGATGATCGGGTGATGACCTATCATGACTTCCACTGCGAGCATTTTTGCGATCCGATCGACTACTGCTCTTTTTGCTGGGAGGAGTATCCGTATGACAGCGACGAAAGGGAGCCTGAGCGGCGGGACGTGGTTTGGACTCTTCCTTCTTCTTTGGTTCTTCCTTTTTCTTTGATTCTTCCTTTTTCTGTTCTTGCATCGATGAAGGGGTATCATTTCGAGCCGACCTCAGACGTGGAATGGCGGCAGGGCTACTGTGCGTTGTCGCGTTGTGGGGAGACTCTATCATGTTGGCTAGGGGCACTTTGATCATGGGACTATTATTTCTTGCTTGTATGTTTGGTCTGGGATGGATTTGATTTCGTAAGTTTATGGGAAGAAGGAAAAGAAGACATGGATGAATGTTGGATGAGGCTGAGAAACGCACTGTGCGCTGCCAACTGATCAGTGAAAAGCCTGGTGGGCAAAGATGCGAGATGCGAGTGGAAGTTCAATCCAGCCAGCAGCAATTCCGGTACAGCGAGGTTGATTTGCAATGACCGCATAAATACTGGAGTAGTAAAACACAGCAAGTTCCCAAGCAGTCATTCATGTGTCATGTGTCTGCTGTGCCTCAGGCTGGGAGTGAACCGGGATGCCAGGCTGCTCGGCTAAAACTAACTTCTACAACTTCGCTTCGTGCTTTGCTTGTGGTGACTGCATTTTGATGCTCCTCCTACAACTTGATAGATGGAACAGAGCGCTGGGCTTTGATGCCTGGTCGGACTGTTTCCTGGCTCCGAGACCTAGCTACCTCTGACTGGCTCCGCGACCTTGCAAAGCTCTTCAGTATGGCTTGCTGGCATGGTGTTGGTTTTGGCTGGGTGCATTCAGAATCGGGCTCTTGCAGCCAATGACAGAGTTTCAAACACAACCTAGCTAGCTTTCATAATATTAATAAATCGAGTAGTCAAAGTTAAACTCTAGTCTGGTAACATCATATCAGATTGTACTCTTGAGTGATATTTGCATAGGACGAGCTTGGAGGCAAGCTTTATTCTATTGCTTGCTTCAACTCGTGCATGATTCAACTGTAGATCTCTGGCTGCAAGTCGTACCAAACTTCGAAAGGGAAGCTACCTCATAGCACCTGCATCAGAAGCATTGCTTGCAAGCTACCGGTAGATGTTGTTCAGGCTTTCAAGCAAAAGACGCGTTGTTGCCGTCTCGTGCGTGCAATCATGGTCCAAAGCTCATGGATAGGCTGAAATGATCACTCCCAGCCTTTGCTTGTTCGTACTGGTACCGTATACCACCTTGCAAGTCTGCGGATCGCTCTTCATGATAAACTTCCACCTCAAGATATCGGTTCCTTCGGGGACGATGGCGATGACGGCACTGATAATGGTTCTGATCTGAATTCTTCACGCGTTGATCCAGTTGCACTGTCCTCATCTGATGCCTCTGGGTGCACTGGCTGAGTGGTCACAGAAGTAGTACAAGTTGTATCCAAAGCCACACCGGATGCAGTTAAGCCTGCCAATCCAATTCCTTTCGCCAGTTCCATGGAAGCCCTCCACCTGGCCGCCGAATCAATTTCTTCATCGTCACCTTTGCTGCTACCAAGGCCTATCAAGCTATCCTCAGAGCCGCTACCTTGTGCACGGCCCCCGCTCGCGTACCCTCCACTTTCGACATCGGACACGTGGCCATTGCGGGCAGCCTCTATAAAGTCTTGGACCGACGTGTTTTCCAACTGCGGCTTTCCGCGGTTACGGACCCCGTCAGGGAAGGAGACATTGGATACACGACGACCAGGACCAAGGTTACCAGATGATCCCGGCAGGTAACGACTTGAATCTGCGATGGATTCTGCAATGATTCTCTTTTGAGACTTGCGAGATCTGATTTTGAAGCGCTTTGTAAATGCAACCTTTGGGACAAAGATGAGCAAAAGTATGACCATGGTGACAGTGAATATCATAAAGACCAGAGTCAAGTAGAATGCCTGTGGCATGTCCCGAACCAGAAACAGGAGTGGTACACCGATGAGTGTTGCTTGCAACATGCTGGCCATGGTAACACCGATGTAATGGGCTTCCGAGAATTCGCTCTTGATGTTTCTCGCTCTGTATGCCTGCCAGTTGGCTTTGGCCAGCACCAGTAGATTGAGCGCCCCCAGCACTGACATATACGGAACTGCGTTGTTCGACTGACAAGAGCCGTACGTTGCCAAGACTCTATTCCAAGCGTCCGTCCCTTCCATGTCCAGTCGCACGTAACGCAATGGATCCAGAATGGTCCACACGGTAAGGACAATGGTATTGGCGGCAAAGAGAAGAAGAAAGGGACGCGCCACTTGGCCGGCAGTGACTTGAACGCGTTGAAACTGGCCACTGTTCATGAAGAGTTGATTGATTCGCCAGGTCTTGGCAAGGAGGGCACTAAAGGTGATTGTGAATCCAAGGAACGCCAGCCATGGAACACTCATGCACATGACCGTGCCCCGCAGTTCGTTGTGTTGGGCGCGGGAGTCGTCAAAGCTGAGGGGTAGCATGGTTGCTCCCATTACCAGCGCTCCCAATGCCACCATTACAAGAAAGCCAGGCTGAGAAATGCGCACAACCGCAAGTGTCCGATTGGACCAAGCCCACACAGCGAATCCCACTGCCGTCACGAATATGACAGCAAAGAGAGTGAACCCAATGATGGATAGATTGCCCAGATGATTCTGGTCCACCTTGAGCTCCGGTAAGACCAACGGGATCTGCAAATGACTGAGGCAGTTGGTGCCTTGAAAGTCTTCCAACACGTCATACGGCATGGTTGTCGTTTCTCTCTCTTCCATGGCCTTTTTCAGGGCCAACAAAGAGTCCACTGATCTGGCGCCCATCTCGTAAGGAAGTTGAGCTACCAACCCATGAGCATAGTTCTGCGAGAGTAGGTTGAGCTGTACCGGCAGTCCATCCGCAACTACAAAGGTTACATTCCGAAACTCCTGCACCAGTTCCTTCCACTTGTCTTCCAGAAACATGGGAGCTCCCATGACCGGGATGATGGCGGTGATATCTGGATAAATTGTCGACAAGTAGCGCATCTGGTCAATTGCCAATTCACCCGAACCTGATGATTGTTGCGGAATGGGGGAAAGAAAGGCATGGGATAAGGCGCGCAAGGAACCGGTCACGAACGAGGGAGCCGACGATTGCCCTACCTTCTTCGTATTGGGGAGATTCCTGGACTTCCGTCCAACCTTCCCTTAGCAACACATCTCGGACTCCTCGTTCTCTATCCACAATGTTGGTGGGCGTGTCCGTGATTATGCTGTGACGAGAGAAACAAAAAAGTGTGAGATATCCAAGGACTCCCGGAAACCAACCAACTCGATGCAGATACTGCTCTGTCTTACCCAAAGGTCCCTGGCTCTGGCCGGATCTGGACGAGCGTCTTGGCCAGCTGTTCTCCAAAGAAATAGTTGTCGGTTCCAATATAGGAAGCCCTCTCTGAACCTGGATCGTCTGCGTCAAAGGTCACCACTGGGATACCTCTTGCCACGGCCTCCGCAATCACTGGCCTCATAAACTCGGCTCCTCGTATCGAGATGGACAGCCCATCGAGGTCATCCATGCTGTCCATCAACTCTTGCACCATGCTGGCCTGCAGCGATCCGGTCTTCTCAAACACGTTGGGGCCAACATAGAGGCATTCCACTCCCAGCGTTCGAGCTCGATCGAAGCAGCCATCTCGAGATGCATCAAAAAAGGGATTGTCAACGGACTTGGGACAGAGGGCAAACTTGTAGGCGGTGGAGGGAAGAGAAAGGAGGAGGAATGCTACCCCACCGCACAGCAAAGAAAGCATGCTTATCATGTTGCCCTACGCAAACTATAAAGATATTAACAGCGTTAGCACTTGTAACTACTTGTTTGCTTGACGGAGGAGGTGCTTTGGGAGTGTTTGGTGGGCTCCAAAACTGGATCAACACGTTCGTGCATCGCGACAATATCGACGCGGTGCGCTTTATTGGCTTGGCCCTGTTCCTTGACTTACTCGCAACTGCCCTCGAAAACCCTAACGAACAGCCGGGAACACTGAACCTTGAAGTCAAGAAGTCGAGAACAGTTAACCTGGGAGGTGGAGAAATCGAGTGCCATCCATACCACCCATGCCAACCAGGTAAACCATGACCATGAGAGTGGGTAGACAGTGGTTGACAGTGGTAAGCATTGGTGAAAGACACTTAAACACGTTTGTTTCGCGAAACAGTGGTTGGCAGTGGTTAGAAGTGGCTCCATGACTGAAAGCCAAAAGCTGAAACCACTGGCAAGCAATGGGAGCTCAAGGGATTGCATTGATTTTCTCCACCCCCCTGCCCGCTGTGACTGGTCGTTTCTTCAGCTTTCTTCAGAGCTGCAATTATTTATTATTGTTCCTGCTTCAGACTTTTCAGACCATCGTTTTGTACACTTCTGCTTATTGTTGAGACTCTGCAATTGAAAACTTCACTGGCTCTTTTACTACGGCTACTAAAACAATTGTCCCCGTGTCACAGAAATTGCACCGCCATGGCACAGAAATTGGTCTCATGTAGACCTCTGTAGAAAGACTACCACAGTTTCTGTGACATGAAAATCGCGAGCTGGTGATTCAACCTCCAATCGTGTACAATTCCTTTCCTTCCCTCATTTTACTTAGAGGTCGTGCCCCAATTTCTGTGACATGAAAACTGACTTGCCATAGCACAAAAACGGTGTTCTCATCCTGGGGACAATTGTTTTAGTAGCCGTAGTACAGGCAGCTTCGGTTTTAAAGATTCAAACGCGTGCCAGGTTTTCTCGTACACTTCTACGAGAGCTCGAGTAGATGTGTACCATGGAGGTCGGCACGCGTTTGCATCAATAAAATCGAAGCTGCTCGTATTAAGCCATTGAAAAAACTGTCACGAGAATGGAATGCAGCTTCTACTCGAGTATGCATACCGTAATACCGTAATACCGTCCCAATCGCTAGCTAGACTAGCTCTAGCTAGACTGGACTCGACTCCCGATATCGGTACATTAAATTTTATAGTACAGGAGCTGTACATGTCACGTACGAAGTATTCCATTGCATTGAATTGGATTGAATTGGATTCCAATTAGTACTGTTATTTATATAGTAAACTGTAATTCAATGCAATCCAATCTAATCCAATGCAATCCAATCAAATCCAATAGAGAAAAACAGCCAAAGTAAAAGATTGGCTTAGGGCACACAATTTTTACAAAAACGCTCTAACAAATTCAACACAGAGCCATGGCCAAGTTTGCTCATCCCCCATCCCCCATACCGGTACAGGCAGCTTCGGTTTTAAAGATTCAAACGCGTGCCAGGTTTTCTCGTACACTTCTACGAGAGCTCGAGTAGATGTGTACCATGGAGGTCGGCACGCGTTTGCATCAATAGAATCGAAGCTGCTCGTACTCATGAATGTGGCTGTAGCTCATTTTTTATTCATTAATTTATTTACTGCGTCACAGCTGCGACCACCGACCACCGACCACCGGTCGCCGATGTTCGCAGTTCGCAGTCTTGTATGAGCTCTCTTCCTTTCGCAGTTCGCACCGCGTCGCTGTCCATGGAAGACAGTTTCTTTTCTGTAAAAGGTCCACAACACTGACGGAAAAGTACAAATAATAGTTACGTAGAAGCGTAGAAGTAGGATGCTCCTTGCTAAGGACTTTCCGCAAACCCCGTACCCTACTTCCTACTACTAGTACTTGTATCCGCTCCACTCCCAAACTTGCTTTTGTCAGCTCTTTTGTCGAAGATGTCGTGATGACCTTGCTCAAACGCTCAAACCACCAAAGCGGCACCGGTGGCTGACCGCTGGCCGGTACAGTACCATGGGGAGCAAAGGCTGTGGCGACTGCTCGTCAGATTCACGTCACGATACTCTGACACTGTAGTAAGAAAAGATGCATTTACTGGAGGTTGCTGTGACAGATGCAGCATCTATGAGGTGGTGGCAGCCGCTTTGGGCTGCGGAGGTGCTGGATATTGGAGCTTTTGGGCGTTTTACGTTACATACATGTAGCTAGCTGTTACTTTCCCTGGGCGGGACTGGAGGGATCCTCAAAGGCTGAGTGAAGTGAAAAGGTGCTGATAAAAAGTGCTTGACCTGATCCATTTCCTTAAAAAAGGCCAAACTTCCTTGCTATCCCACTGTTTCAACACCAGCCCCTCCCTGGGCAGCCTTTCCAGGAAGTAGCACCATTTATGACAGGTCTCGTAACTAGCTAGCTAGTAGGTAAGATTGATACCCAATGGATCGAGGCCTTTTGGTAGCGCCGAGGCATTGTCATCAGCTACCGGTAGCTAGACCCATTGTGACGACTTCTTTGCAGGCGGCGAGCCCTGATTGCATTCATTCCTTTTTATCCCAAATAAGGACACATCGAACCTCGATACTTTCCCTGGACGGTGCATCCGGTGGACTGGAGGGATCCTCAAAGGCTGAATGAAGTGAAAAGGTGCTGATAAAGTCCTGGACTTGATCCATTTCCTTTTTCAGCGCCAAAGTTCCTTGGCTATCCCACTGTTTCAACACCAGTGCCTCGCTGGGCAGCATTTCCGGGAAGTAGCACCATTTGTGACGGGTCTGATAGCGGGAAAAGTAGTTCTGGAGAAATAATGTTAGATAAAGGTTGTCTGGAGAATGATCAATCATTCAGAACAACACAATCAACGAACGTACCTCTCCAATTCTGTCCGCGTAGATGATCTGAAAGGTCAAGAAATCCTTCAATTCTTGCGTCGTGGCATCGACACATGCCAATGGGAATTGTTGAATAGGAGTTTTGCAAGGCTGAATGTTTCTCCAGACATTGCAAAAGGCAAATCGTCGCTTGCCTTCCAGAACCTCCTGGACAATTGTGGGGTCCAACAACGAGTTCAATCCTTGAGCTTCCAGGCGAGATTTCATGGAATCATTGGCTTTGGGTGGTTTTCCCAACTGTTCTAACCGTCTTGGTGCAGAAACATGGGTGTAATCATTGTGCACTACTCCAATGGGTTGTTGCAAGACAGTGTTGCCTTCTTTGTCATGATTCTTGCTTCCACTCACTCGGACGTTGTGGTCAAATGCTTTGACCAGAGAAGCACCCGTTGACTCTAAAAGCACTTTCTCACAGAGAGGATAGTAGTGATCAATGACATCCTCCGAGTCTTTGAAATGGATCTCTCCGCCAGTGACTGGACATGACACCAACTGAAAGCCTTGTCGATCCAAGAGACACTCTGATCTTCTCGCATTATTGATTCGGAGCGTGACGGAATCCCACGAAGCTCCTTCGAGTGCACTGTCCGTGCCACCCAAATCTCGTCGAGTTTGCATATGTGTCACATGGGAAGCGCAATAGTTCATCATGGAATCGACGGCCTCCAGGTGACCTTTGCTGCCGTTGGATTCATCATAGTGAATGGCGGCGTCTGGGGGCAACTGAAGCAGAGGCCAGAAATTCGAATCACCCGAGGATGCCTCTGCCGTCGGTGCGTTGTTGCTGTTGTTGTTGGGAGACACGGCGAATGCAAGGAACGGACCAAGAAGATGAATGTTCATGGTATATAAGCTGTCAAAGTCATTTCTGCAAGGAAAGCTGGGGTCTCGGATTGGTGGCACTCTTCATTTTTTCAAAACTGTTTCATATTTTAACAATAAAATGGCAATTCCCAGAATTGTCGGGAATGAGCATCAAAAATCAAAAACAAAAAAGTTGAAAAATCAAAAACAACCATTTAATTTGCTTCTGCCAATTCTTTCGAGTAGCTGATGTCACACCGAGTCGAGTCTGAGCTCACAGCTGAAATAAATTGTGCCAAGAGAGGTTTGGGACGATGATGAAGCATGGTGTGCAATAGACCAACATCACTGGGACATGCCCTGGGTGAAATGAATGCAAATATACCACAGGTAACTAACGGTACCGGTATGGTGCCGACCATGAGGTGCAGCCAGATTTTCTGCCGCCGAGGTGCCCACCATAGAGGTGCAGTTTTTGCCCTCGAGGTGAAGCCGCTAGAGGTGCAGTGTCCCTGAGGTGCAGTGCCCCTGAGGTGCAGCCCCCGAGGTGCTACCCCTGCTGTTACCGTAGAGGTGCAGATTTTTGCCCCCCATAGAGGTGCTTCTTTTTTTGCAGCCCAGGTGCAGCCCCCGGAGGTGCTGATTTTTGCCTCCGGTACTCCGTAATAGTTTGACGGGGCAATTCCTCATGGGGAGACTTCTTAGAGAAATTGGAAAAGCTACTACAATACACGTAACGCAACGAGAGAGTGTATGGTAGTTCCGAAGACTCCATGGAGGTGCTGATTGCTGGGGTAACTGTCCCAGTGAACTTTGGTGAAAGCAAAATTGCTCACTAGCTATGTAGCTTGGTTCCGCTTTATAATCTGCTCTATCAAGTTCTAATCATCTCAGCTGGGCGTTTCGCTAGCCTACAAACTCCCAGTCTTTTCCTTTTCCTTTCGTTTCCGTATTTCATCCTTTGCCATTCGCAACAGGAGTTCATAGGTCATGAACGTGATACAACAGTTGGGTATCACTCGAATCAAAGCCACAGGCAAACCAGAGTAGAATCCCAACAAGCCATCTTGCGCATAGACTCGACGGGTGGTCTGCAACAGAGACATTCCGGCTGCCCCACGAGCATCCATCATTCGTGATCGGATCACTTCGTGTGGATATGTCAACAGGGACGCTGTCATTTTACTGAGTCCACTGGCCAAGAATAAATCCAATGCAGTTGGTTCCAGTACCTGTTCTCCTTCCGATACCTTATTGTTGCGTTGGTTGACCAGAGCTGTTTTTAGCCACTCGTAGACAGGAAATTGCACTGCAACGTGGGAGAGTCCCATCATGTTAGCACTCATTCCTCTCCAGAAAATTTTGACTCCACCTTCTTGATGGAGCGTTTGAATGGTCCGTACAATTCCCGAGGGTGCTCCCCCACCGTGCAACGCTTCCGTCTGCAACCGCGTCCGCACGACAAACATGGGATTGCAAATGAGATCCGACACGGCCCCGGCCGCCACGGCCGATCCACAGTGGACCAAACTGGGTTGGGTTTCCGGTGATGCCATGGTCCATCGTCGTTTCAGTTCGTCGTAGAGTGGAAAATAAACGCCCCAAAAGGCGGGTACGGTACACAGAGCGGCTCCCAGTCCTCGAAAGTATCCCGTGAAACCTTCAGTGCGTCCAATGTCGACGAGTGCTTCTCGCAAGGACGACGCGGGAGCCTTTTTGAGATCCGTCCAGACTTGGAGGCGTGTCCTCACCAAATCCAAAGGAGCACAAATGACCGAGGAGAGAGCGCCACTCCCCACACCGGCAAAGAGAGAGGACCACAGGTAGACGGGGTCTCGCTGTAAAGTGGATTGTTGTTGTTGTTGTTGAGCAGAAATCAACTTGGCAAGTTCCTTCTTCTGTTCCTGTTCTTGAGCCGGATAGGCAGCTTCTGTCCCCACAAATTGAGTGGCAGCACCACGTGTGGTTTGCTTGGAGACTAGCGAGGCCATTCTTCTTGTTCTTCTTTTGGTTGGAATTAGTGTCGCTGTGGCACGGCGTATGTATACGGTGGTTGCCAAAGATAATTGTGACGCGGAGACAGTAGTGACTGCGAAATGGCAGCACAAACAGAACACCAAAACGACAACTCGATGAAACTGCCAATAGGAACAACCTCTGGACTTGGTTCGATGCAATGGCATGTCCCAGAAAAGGACAACCACTGGCTAGCTAGCTGGCAGCAAAAGCTCGGGTCGGGGTCTTGTCGAACGATAAAACAAAGATCAGGCTCAACAAACGTTTAGCAGCAGAAGTAGGCTAACAATGAGCAAGGTTGAGGAAGACTGGACTCGACTCCTTGCTGGACCGACCACCACAACGAACTGATTGAAACTGGAAGTTGTTGTGGAAGTGCGTTCATGGGTGATGCAAGCAACTTTGGGCCGTTGCAATTTTATTCGCTGGCGAAGCGAACCCGTTGCTTCTGAATTGAATATTCTGCCGCTGACGCGAGTCACGAACAAAGCCATCCCGTAAGGTTTTCCTCTTTGGAGGGTTGAGATCAGATCGGAGTTCGCGAAACCGCGAAAGCTACAGATCCGATGATCTTCACAGCACGGCAGCAGCAGCACACAAAGGCGACCCGACCATGGCAATGGCAGCCTCAACCGAATGGCCACAAGACCCAAGCTGTCTCATGGCTAGTAGGCTTGGTGATGATAGTCAGATCTATGTTGATGATGAAGATGACTCTAAATTCCAAAAAGCCTCCGAAGTAAAGATTCATCTTGACGGAGACTTGGATTTATCATTGCCACAGACAGCAAGCGGGGATGAACCCACCACTGCAGGAGAGGCGCTGGTGTCATTTCTGACTGGCTGGAAACCATTGAAAGAGCTCGTATTGTGGCATGAAGACTATGCTCATCTTCCCTTGGGAACACTCATACAGCTGGTTCGACAAATGGATGCGCCGGACCTTCGGGAAATCATTTTGATGCAAGACGTGTCACTCTTTGGGAGTGTGGAACAAATGAAATCTCTTGCCACCACTATACAACAATATCTGCCCAATTTAGTGTCTCTTGATTTTTAATAAGGCGTATGATGTTGAGGAGGATGGTGACGAATCCAGTGGCTTCCTGGACCCTGTAATGCACCTGCTGGTTGGAGCGCATTCGAGCTGCCACTTTGGCTTTCATCCCCGCTATGTGACAAAACAAGGAATTCAACACATTTTTTCCTTGTCTCATTTGACAGAGCTATCTTTGTTCGAACAGCTTTGGCCTGAGGAAATTGTTGTTACGGCAATGGTTTGTCTGTTGGAGAACAAAACAATGACGCAGTTCCAACTGCATTGCTTATCCATCGAAAATTCAGAAACAGCCAATGCCATTTGCAATGCTCTGGAAAAGAATGAAACGCTTCAACAGTTGGATTTGGTCTGTATAAATGGTATTGGGCACGATGTTGTACAGCCAATTCTCAAGTCGCTTGCTCTATCGAAACTCCAGCGCTTTTCAATGACACGTTTTTGGAAGATGCCAGTTTTTCCTGCTATTTGTTTGGCAGCGGAGCAAGCACTTGAGAAGAACATGAATCTTGTTCACTTGGATGTCTGGGGGGGCTCTGGCGATCTACCAAAAGAGGTGCAACACAATGGACTTTTCCTTGCTTTGAACGCCACAGGACAGCGAACTTTGCTGCTAGAGAATCCCGACTACAATCACGAAACGTGGGTGGATGCATTGATCCAAGTCGACAGTGTTGCCGCCTTGTATTATTTTCTCGCAGAGAACCCAGCCTTGATTACTCAACTTGTCGTCCAGCAGCCCAGTCTGACCGAGCAGCCCAGCAAGCGCAAGCGTCTCTACTATTGCCCGGCCAAGTATTCTGAAGAAATGAACAAGCGCTTCAAGTAAGTGTCGCTGGCTGGTGAAACACTGAAAGTTGTTTGGGGGATGATGAAAGAAAAATTGTCTGGGTGCCTTGAACATCAGCCAGCCAGGAGTACCTGGTACCATCCGTACGGTATGTACTTGTAGTTCAAGGAAGCAAGAGAGACAGGTGGGACAACGGAATCCTAGGTCCTTTACAACAGGACGACGAATCTGGAGCTAGAGCAGAGGATTTCCAGGTTTTGTGCGTGGTGCATGAACACGGAAAGTACCTTACGACAAACTACAAGTTGTCCTCCTTGATTTCAAAATTGCCAGTCCCTTTTTATTACTGAGTTGTGAAGATGGCTGCTAGCTAGTCTAGAAGCCAAAGAACTCAGACAACAGATTTCGAATGTCATCCAGGCGAAATGGCTTGGACAAGAAGCCTGTGGCACCAGCAGCAACAGCTTGAGCTTTGAACTCATCTAGTGCATGAGCTGTCACAAAGATGACCTTGGCATTTGGTTTGCGATCCACAATCAGTCTTGTGGCCTCCATGCCTCCCATAACCGGCATCTGAATCAAGTCACAAATAGAATTTTACAAAGATTGGCTGGTTGAGACCACCGACCATATAGCAAAACTAACGCAAAAACATGTACAGCCGCCAAAAAACAGAAGCCAACTACAACAACTCACCTGGATGTCCATGAAAACACAGTCAAATTTCTCTGTCTCACAAAGATCCACTGCTTTTTTCCCGTTGTCGACAATGGTTAAATCTGTAACCCCTACCCGTGCTAAAACCTTCTGGAGTACTTTTTGGTTGACCACATTGTCTTCTGCATACAACACCTTGAAGTTTCGCTGCGGGGGTACGACTCTGCTCTTGGACCCTCTTGGGGTGGGTGGCTCTGACTTCGCTGCTCCAGCAGGAGCCATTGACTGTTGGCTAACGGTGGTTACCGTAGCTATCGTGGAAGAGGAGCCATTGCCATTGAAACCAGCAAATAGACCCCCTTGAGGAGCAGCAGGCAGGCCAGCAAACAGCCCCCCTTGAGGTGCAGGACCTGCAATGCTGCTGCCAGCAGTCGGAGCAGCAGCAGCAGGAGGTGCCTGTTGTTGGCCAGGGGTGGTTCCTGAAACTGTGGTGGAAGCACCAGTGCTATTGATACCAGCAAATAGACCCCCTTGAGGAGCAGCAGGCAGGCCAGCAAACAGCCCCCCTTTTGGAGTAGGAGCTGTGATGCTGCTGCTAGCAGTGGGAGCAGGAGCAGCAGGCAGTGGCTGTTGTTGGCCAGGGGTGGTTCCTGAAACTGTGGTGCAAGCACCAGTGCTAGTGATACCAGCAAATAGACCCCCTTGAGGAGCAGCAGGCAGGCCAGCAAACAGTCCCCCTTGAGGAGTAGGAGCTGCCATGCTGCTGCCAGCAGTGGGAGCAGGAGCAGCAGGCACTGGCTGTTGTTGGCCAGGGGTGGTTCCTGAAACTGTGGTGGAAGCCCCAGTGCTATTGATACCAGCAAATAGACCCCCTTGAGGAGCAGGTACGGCAGCAAACAGCCCACCCTGGGGAGCAGGAGTAGGCTTGCTGTTGGCTCCAGTTGGAGCAGGAGCAGGAGCAGCAGGCATTGGTTGTTGGCCAGGAGAAGTTTGGCCAGTGCCGCTGTTACCTGCAGTGCCATTGATACCTGAAAAAAGACCCCCCTGGGTCGGAGCCAGGCCAGCAAATAGCCCCCCCTGAGGAGCAGGAGAAGGAGCAGGGGAAGGATTGTTCGTTAGACCAGCAAAAAGACCCCCTTGAGAGGTAGCAGTAGGAGCTGCAGTCACCGGTTGTTGGCCAGCGGTGCTTCGCTGGGGAGCTGAACCATTGCCATTGATACCAGCAAAAAGGCCACCTTGAGGAGCTGGCAGGCCAGCAAACAGGCCACCATGAACAAGAGGAGTAGGCTTTTTGCTGCCGACAACAGTGGGGGCAGGAGCAGAAGTTACTGGTTGTTGGCCAACCATGGGTCCCATGGCTCTTGTAGAGGCGCCATTGATAGCAGAAGGAAGCCCCGCTTGATCAGCGGTGCTGGTCTTCGGTGCGCCTACTTTTGCCGCAGGATTGCTGTTCTTGCTTGCTCCTTCAGAGGCACCCTTGAATTCCTCCAGGACTTTCTTAATGTCAGCAATTCCAAAGGGTTTGGCTATAAAGCCCGAACCTCCAACAGCATCAGCTTTTGCCTTGAATTCTTCCAATGGTTGGGCAGAAACAAAGATGACCTTTGCACTTGGGTCACGCTCCACAATCAATCTAGTTGCCTCGAGCCCGTCCATCACAGGCATCTGGGCAAGGATCACGGTTTGGTGAGAAAAACAAACAAAGAAGCACTGAAGTACACCTTAGTGCCCTCACATACCTGCATGTCCATGAAGATGCAGTCAAACTTCTCAGTCTCACAGACATCAACAGCTTCCTTCCCATTGTCCACAATTGTTAAGTTCGTTATCCCAACGCGCTTCAGGACCCTTGACAGTACTTTTTGATTAACCAAGTTGTCCTCGGCATAAAGAAACTTTAGATTCTGTTCCGGGGCTGCAGGTTTGCTTGTTGTTGCTGCTGGTGTTACTGTACCCGACGGGTTTAATTTTGCTGCAGCCACGACAGATATCTGTGGTTTTTGCCCAGGCTTGGTTCCCAAGGCAGTTGATGAGGCTGCACCAAAATTGTCAGCGGCAAACAGCCCCCCCTGTGGACTGGGGTTGCCCTTTATGCCAGCAAATGGTGGACTGGGGTTGCTGTTTATGCCAGCACACTGCCCACAATGTGGACAGGGGTTGCTCTGTATGCCAGCAAACAGCCCACCTTGTGGCGGCAAATGTTTGACTCCGGCACCAGTTGCAGCAGAAACAGCAGACAGAGGTAGCTGGTCAGGGGTGGCTCCGGTGGCTGCTGTGGCAGAAACCACACCATTGATACCAGCAAAAAGTCCCCCTTGTGGAGTAGGTAGGCCAGCAAAGAGTCCCCCTTGAGAACTAGGAGCAGGCTTGCTGGTGTTGACAACAGTCAGTCCGGGAGAAGCCCTTGGTTGCTGTGCTGAGGTGGCTTCAATAATAGCCCCATTACTACCAGCAAGATCCCCTTGGGGACAAGACTGGTTGTTCACAGCCCCTTGCGGTGGTGCATGATTGATGATGCTTTCACCAGCTCTTGGAGAAGCAAATTTGAAATCAGCCAGGAGTTTCTTGATATCATCAAGTCGAAAGGGCTTCGATAGGAAGCCTGATCCTCCCACAGCATCAGCTTGTGCCTTGAACTCCTCCAATGCATGGGCAGTGCAAAAGATGACCTTTGCATCTGGATCACGCTCGACAATTAGTTTAGTTGCATCTAGCCCACCCATGACAGGCATCTAGTGTTGCAGCAGAGAGAATCGTTTGGTGAGAAAACCATGAAGGCAATCGCTGCCAACAGGACATTCAGAACCTACCTGGACATCCATAAAGATGCAGTCAAACTTCTGGGTTTCACAAACATCGACTGCCTTCTTTCCGTTGTCGACAAGTGTTAATTTCGTAATCCCAACACGTTTTAGGACCCTCGCCAGTACTTTTTGGTTGACCGTGTTATCCTCTGCATATAGGACGTTTAGATTTTGGCCTGAGGCTGTAGGTTGTCTTGTGGATATTGTACTTGACAGGTTTGAAGTTGTTGGTATCAGTGATTGTTGTCGGCTGTTTTCTCCAGTAGATAGCCCGCCTTGAGGACTGCATTCATCTTTGTCAGCAAATAGCCCCCCTTGAGAAGCAGGATTATCGTTGATGCTCGCAAACAGCCCACCTTGTGCCCCTGTCGCAGCTGCCGAAACAACCTTGTCATTGACAACCAGCGATGGGACCACGTCGATGGTCGTCGTTGATGCGGCGAATAAACCTTTCGCCAAGGCTGGGATACCCGGAGCCGAGTGCCGCCTGCTCTCCGTGAACGGGGCAAACAGCTTCCCGTACTTGTCGTCATCAGAAATACCATAGAACAGATTCCTAGCACTCTGAGGCGTACTGGATTGTGGAGATTTCAGTATCGAAAGGCGGCGATTCGAGAACATCTTTTCGGTCTTTCTGCGTTCGATGTGCTCAGCGATTGCCGTAAGCAACGCAGAGGGGAATACTCCGTCCAAAGACTTGAAATGCCTATCTTTGGTCATCTCAACGGCATATTTCGGTCCAAATGTCATCAAAGTGTAGTTGAGTTTGCATAAGATTTCTTCCAGCCTTTCGATGGTTCCGAATTCGTAGAGGTCCTCTTGAACCAGTACGGCAAAATGCTTGTCAGGTGTGACAAGGTTGGCTAGTCTGAGCTTTTTGTGTGCTTGCTCCAAGTTCTCGCACCTGATCACATTTAGATCGAAGGCTTCGTTCTCAGCACTCTGCAATGGAACGGGCTCCTCCTTGATTTTGTACGTCGTGAAGCTGTAGTCGTAGTGCTGCTTTGGCTCCACAATCACAATAGTTGTGTTTCGCAGCCTCTTTCGAAGCTTTGCAACGTTCACCGGTTTACCCTTGAATGGTAAGTCAACCGTGAACTCAGCAAACTTTCCGTAATCCGACTGCACTGAGATCGTTCCGCCCAGCCTTTTGACAAGCTTGGAGGTGATCGACAGTCCTAGACCTGGGAGATACAGAAAAAAGCGAGATGTGAGCGGCATGCAGCCGCATTCAATGTTGGCTACACAATTTTCCTGACATACCCGTTCCACCATACAAAGTCTGCGTTTCCTTGCTAGCTTGAGAGAAAGGATCAAAAATTGTTTTGAAGTCTTTCTCTTCGATTCCTTTGCCGTAGTCTTTGACAGAGAACCGAACTACTTCACCATTGCAAGTGTCGTCGGGGTTGACTCCGGTGGAGGCAACCGGGACAACGGAGACAGTGAAATCGATCACACTATTCTTTTTCGAAAACTTGCCACTAGAAATCGTGGCAGAGAATTGTGAGGATGGCGGGTACTAGTACAATCCGAAGAAATCGGAACACTACAACTTCTGTACTTACCTGTTGCCCAACAAGTTAAAAAGCACTTGTTGCAGTCTCCGCGAGTCTGTCGTGAAAGTCTCCGGAAGCAAAGGAGAGTAATGCTTCCGAAGGCGAACGTTCTTGTCTTGAATTTTCTGCGATATCGAATGCGCCACACTGCTTAGTGTATGCTGCAAGTTTATATCCTTGATGTCCACTTCGAAGCTTCCACTTTCCAGTTTTGCATAGTCTAAAACGTCGTCAACTACTGCTTTCAGAAGATCACCACTCGTGTTGATCATTTGGATAGAATCTGAATGCATTGGATCCATCTCGTCGGCATCATCCAAGAGAAGAGACGACATCCCGACGATACAATTCAAAGGTGTTCTAATTTCGTGGCTCTAACGAAACCGGGGTATGATTATACGAGGTGAGTGGCGTTCAAAGAAGGGGCACTGTCATCTGTCTATCAACTTACCATGCAGGCGAAATGCTCCTGTTTGCCGTTCGAAGCGTTTAAGCGGGCGTGAGCATTGCGAGGAGCAGACACATGCCATTCGATACAATCAAACTTGGATGCACTTACCAATTGTCTGGCTGACTGAATTGCGAGCTGCGCGTTTGCTCGTTCCAGGTCCCTGTTAGCTTCAGCAAGTTCTTCCGTTCGATCTTTGATTTGTTGCTCCATGGAATCGATCAAATCGCGGTGCAGCTTGTCGAGATGGTTTGTCAGCTTCACCTCTGACTTGTTGTGTTCCCCGAGAAGGACTGCTTCACGTTGGCAACTGTGTAGAGGCAGGTCTGCCATGGAGAGATTTGCTTCTTCCAATTCTGCAAGGTTCTTGACATTTGGAAAAAGAACAAACATGACTTGCTTGGGCGACTTGGAAACCTCAACCAGAGTTCCCTTGAGTCTTACTTGTTCTTCCATTGCAGGGCTCAAGACTGTTTCCAGGAAGAATTGTTTGTCTTTCATCTTATCCAGCACTGACCAGTTCCAATTGCCTGGCATTGGAATCGGGCTTGTTACTGTCAAAATGTCATTGACGATTCTGCCGACGACACAGGACTCTTGTATGAGCATTTCGAAATTGTTGCCAACTTGCGTGATTCGAAAATCAGCATCCAGAACAACATGGTATGGAAAGATTTCCTTAACTAGATCTGCCGAAAGCGACACGCCCGTATTCTGAACCGGGGCCGGGACCGCTTCGTCTTCATTGGGGATTACAGATATCTCTTTGATGGGAGGGATATCAGTTTGACCGACCATTGATGGCCGACGAGCCAGTCGCTTTCGCCCAGATATTCGACTCGTTCGCGACCCTCCCCCTCCCACCGAATCTTTCCCAGTTCCTTGTTGCGCTTGGGCACCTTCACTTTGCACCGCCAGGAATCGCGTAATTCTGTCGCTTTCCTTGCTTGCTTTGTCGCTTGTCCTGCTTATCTCTTTGTTGGAAGAATTGATACTGAGACAAGAAGACATGCTTTGATGTGAAATGTCCAAGCGAAGAAAACGATTTATCCTGTCTTTCTCAACTGCATTCCGATTGATGGCTGTGAAGACAGCATTCGGTGCCCCAACAGTCAAGCTGGGCCGCCTGCCCTGGAATGAGAGTGAACTAACCCTCTTGGACAAACCGCCCAACTTCTCGTTTGTTTGAACAACAGTTGGCACAGCCACTTGTTGGTTGCCTGCTTTGGCGATGCTTGTGACAGGCGCCTCGTCTTCTCGAGTTGCTTTGTCGGCCAACGGCTTTTGGCTAGGCGCATCTTTCTCCTGAGAAGTTGTATCCTTCAACGTCCTTTGACTTTGAAATTCGGGTCCCTTTTTGGCTCTCAAGAGACGAAGGAATTGCTTGAGCTTCTCCCGTTTCTGGTCGTCTTCCGCGCCATTGTTGTTTGGCATGGACGTCTCTGACTGAAGACGCTTGAGCACCGGTGGTGCTGGCATTATCTCCAATTGTCGGCTGGGACACGGCGACCCATCCAACGAAGTAGCACGGTTCAAATTACGAGGCCGATTCGGAGCCCGTACCTTTCGCGGGGAAGGTAACGCCCGGGCTTTTCGCGGTTCCCACACGGCATTTTGTAGATTTCCCACTGACATTGAGCTGGGAATTTGAGATTTGACGTGGCTAACTTGAAGCCTTTCATCCAAACCAGCCAACAGCGACGATTGTTGCTTTTCGATCCGATTTCGTGTAGCCGCAATCAACGATTCATGGCTACCCTTCTTCAAATGTGTCATGTCTGTAGGGCACGAGTCATGTCGCCCCATGAATGAAGCCAACTTCATATGGCTTGATCTGCTAGGTATTTTCATTTTCAATGTTGCTGGTGCTTTCGGCCTGTTTGAGCTTGGTTGTTCTGCTACAAACTCTGACGATTCCGTGATCGAGAATTGAGGCCTGCCATGTTTCTGTAATCTCAGAGATGCTTGCCGCACGGGAGTAGGCTTCACTTTGGGCAGCAAACGCTTGGTGGGGGTTGTCGCTTGTGTGGCCGTCTTGTTGCTATTGATGCTGAGGCTTCCGCTGCTGTTCATGTTGCAACACTGAAGATATATCTTGACAAGATAGCTCGACTCGGAAACAAGCTCGGACAGCTGGCGGGTGGTCGTCGTCTTGAGCTCGTCAATGGCAAAGACTCGCCATGGTTTTCCTGTGTTGTCATCCCAGACAGAGAACTTGATTTCGGACGTTCCATTTTTGACGGCTTTTGCGATGGGGCCTCCCCACTTCCTCACATGGGCTGCTTTCACCGCTTCGTGGTTATAAACGGTATCAAAGATCGTATCTGAATCATTGATATCGACAACCAAATCCTTGCTTCGTTTTGTAACCTGGTTGATGATTCGTACTCCCAGAGTGGACTTGGCTTTGTCGTTGCTGTTGATCGGGGCCAGAGGATATTGTGGCTGCTGATTGGTATCTTCGCCGTGGATGGACATGGTCACCTGTGATTGCTGATCATCAATGTCCATCATGGACAAGGAATTGGCCCCCAATCCTTCGCTCAAAGTAGAATCGAAATAAGAATGGGAGGAAGTTCCAATTGACATTGTATGCCCATAGGCAAGCGGTCTTTTCGTCGACTCATCAGGGTTGGCCTGCAGGGACGTCGAGGTCACCTCGCTGCCTGTTCTCACAGCTTCTTGTCGGGCAATCCTTGTTGTGGGCGGCAAGGTCTCTGGATCAATGGAATTCGTTCGTCTAATCCCCCAAGGCGGATCGTTCAGCGTCGACGACAATGAGGACCCATCGCTTTTGCAACTGGAAATTCGAACAGCAGGTTGCTTTTCAGCCTTTGCAGCAATTTTCTTTTCCTGGTCGCTCAAAACAGAGTTGGGCTGTGAAGACGTCAAAGCCAAGTCGCTACTGCTACTGGCGATCGTAAGAGCATGTTGCCGGGTCGCCGCCATCACAGGTTCACTGTGCTGATCACAGGAATCGGCCATTCTCTCTGTGGAAGTCTCTCTTTCGATGGCAAGAAACTGCACTTGTACCGGCCTGGTCGCTGGAGATGGTTCGTTCTGCCGAGGCTCTGTGACTGCAGCAATTGGAGGAGCTGATTCTGCAGTTACCCTTCTGTTTTGCAGTGAGATGGCTACGGAATTCGAGGCTTCCGTCTCAACACTGTCCTGAGTTGCTGGCTTGACATCCTTTGGCACACACATGAGGCAACATTGGACCAGGGAATCCATCTCTCCGCTACTTTCAGCTGCAACCCTTTCAACTAACTTCTGAGTTGTGAATTCTTTCAGGTTGTCCACTGAAAGCAGCTTGTCATTGTCCTCACCTCTTTTGTCTCCCACCTGAATTTGAATCTTGATCTCTGCCACTCCCTTTTTGACATCTTGGGCAATTTTTGGCCCCCACTTATGAATGTGAGCTTCCTTCACTGTAGGGCTGTCATAGATTGCATCATAGAGAGTTTCGTTCTCGGATAGACTCAAAATGAGATCCTTTTGTCGTTTTGTAGTTTGATTGACAACTCGAACTCGAATTGTTGTTGCCATGGCTGGGCGATCTGACATGATTGGTGGGACAGATTTAGGCACTGTGATTGCCTCACTCAAGACTGGTTCTTCAACATTGCTCTTATCAGCTGTGAACCGGCCGTCATCCTTTGGAGCCACTGCTGCATCTTCAACGAACTTACTGTCATCCTTTGGCACACACACGAGGCAAAACTGGACAAGGGGGTCTGTTTGTTGAGTACTCTCAGCTGCAGCTGCAACCCTCCCAAAAAAACTCTGGATTGTGAGATCCTTCAGATCATCCACTGATAGCAGTTTGTTGTCATTCTCTTCTCTTTCGTTTCCAACCTGGATTTGAACTTTGATCTCGGCCAATCCCTTCTTGACATTTTGGGTGTATGGAGTACCCCATTTTCGGATATGCGCTTCCTTCACAGTTGGGTTGTTGTAGATAGCTGTAAAGAGGGTTTCACCTTGGGTGTTGGCCTGATTCAGGAGGAGATCCTTTTGTCTTTTTGTGGTTTGATTGATTACTCGGACCCGAATTGAGTCGATTGGTTTGTCTGCAGCCGGAATAGCTGACACGGTTGGTGACATGGTGTTCAGGGCTTTCGTCGCGACCGAGTTTGATTCCTCGGCGCTGCCTACTTCTGCTGACGCTGTGCTGTTGATGCTGTCCAGCTTGACTTCAGAATCTTTGGAGTACTTTTCTGGTGCCGAATTGCTGTCATTATCCTTTGGCACACATGTGAGGCAGAACTGGACAAGGGGGTCTGCTTGTTGAGTACTCTCAGCTGCAGCTGCAACCCTTTCAAACAAACTCTGGATTGTGATATCCTTGAGCTCATCCACTGATAGCAATTTGTCATCACTGTCTTCTCTTGTGTCCCCCACCAGGATTTGAACTTTGATCTCAGCCAATCCCTTCTTGACATTTAGGGTGTATGGAGTTCCCCATTTTCGGATGTGGGCTTCCTTGACAGTTGGGTTGTTGTAAATTGCAGAGAAGAGAGTTTCTCCTTGGGTGCTGGCATGATTAAACAGGAGATCCTTTTGTCTTTTTGTGGTTTGATTGATGATTCGGACACGAATTGATTTGTTCTGTCTGTCTGCAGCCGGAATAGACGATGATGTGGTTGGCGAGATTGTCTTGGGGGCTTTGCCTGGCACAGGCAACTTTGATTCCCCTGTGTTGCCCACAACCGGTGCTGCATTCTTGATGTTGTTGTTGATTTTGTTTTCCTGTATCACTTCAGCATCTTTGGAGTCCTTTTCTGGTTCTGAATGGCTGTCATTATCCTTTGACACGCACATGAGGCAAAATTGGACAAGGGGGTCTGCTTGTTGAGTGCTCTCAGCTGCAGCTGCAACCCTTTCAAACAAACTGTGGATTGTGATATCCTTCAGCTCATCCACTGATAGCAGTTTGTTGTCATCATGATCATTATCTTCTCTTGTGTCCCCCACCAGGATTTCAACTTTGATCTCGGCCAATCCGTTCTTGACATTTTGGGTGTATGGAGTTCCCCATTTTCGGATGTGGGCTTCCTTGACAGTTGGGTGGTTGTAGATAGTTGAAAAGAGAGTCTCTCCTTGGGTGCTCCCATGATTCAGTAGGAGATCCTTTTGTCGCTTTGTGGTTTGATTTATGACTCGGACACGAATTGAATTCATGGGATTCTTTGTGCTTGGATTAGCCACAGCAGACATGGTTGGTGCCATTATCGTTGTTGCAGTAACTGCCACCGGCGGAATTGCTTTTTCGTTGTTGCCGTGTTCTGTTGATGACTGGTTGGTGTCTTTGGGTAGGGCCTCTGATGAATCTGTCACCTCATGTTGTGCTTCTGATTTTGTCTCGTCATTATCCTTTGGCACACACAGCAGGCAAAATTGAACAACGGCATCGATCTGTTGGCTGCTCTCGGCGGCAACCCTGTCAAACAAATGCTGGGTTGTAATTTCCTTGAGCTCTTCCACCGAGAGCAGTTTGTCATCCTTTCTGGCTCCGACTTGAATTTGGATCTGGATGACTGCCACTCCCTTTTTGACGTCTTGAGCTATTTTTCCTCCCCATTTGCGAACGTTGGCTTCCTTGACACTGGGGTTGTTGTAGATTGCGGAAAAGAGGGTTTTTTCTTCTTGGGATCGCGTCAATACGAGATCTTTGTGTCGTTTGGTGGTCTGATTCATGACGTGTACCCGAATCGACTTGCTGGGTTTGGAGACCAGCCCCATGGCGATGAGAGGAGCCGAAGGAACATGGTCTTCATAGTCTCCTCCGATTATGCGCTCGTCGACGTCGCCGTTCCTCTGTTCTTTGACCTTTTTGAGTATACTATCGGCTTTGAAAACGAGTTCTTGTGCCTGGGAACGAATCTGTTGACGATGCCGTGCTTTGGCGTCGTCGTCAGTGTTGAGGACCAAGTTCGTGCTTCGACTCCTCGAACCCATGGCTTTGCGGGGATTTTCCCTGGCCGTAAACGTCGACCTACGACTGAGGGTGGGCAATTGTTTGCTGGATTCTTCTTCCCTCCGGCGATGATGATGAGGGTGGTGGTTGTTGTTATTACTAGCCAGTGAAGCCTGGAAGGATTCCCACATGGCGGAGTCAATGGCTACCCCTGAAAAGGGACACGAAGCAGGTGCCTGTATGGGAATGGCAGCATTCGAATGCCTCGTGGATATGGAACTGGCCGAGGCGCTTCCAACACTGGCAACGTCCATGTTGTTATCTGCCAGGAATCGAATCAAATCAAATTGGCACGCGGCTTTACCCCGAAATATGGTGCAGTCGTGGTGGTGGGCTCTATCGATCGATTGACTCAGCGCAGAACAAGGTAGATAGTAACCAGCCAGCAACCAGCAACCAGCAACCAGCAACAAGGAAAGATAAAAGTGTTGGAGGCAGGCAGCAACTAAGCTGATAGGAATTTGGTACACTCAGAGACAGGTGGATAACAACAGGTATATCTATGGACCAGATTTGATTTTGTACAGAGTCAAGTGTCAAGCAGTTCAAGGCACTCAGAATGAAAGATCAGCTGCATACGAAGCAGCAAGTAAGTGTTGCTGTCGATATGATAACAGACTGGCACAGCTCTAGCACACAGCAGCAACAGTCCACTCAGTCCAGGGCCGGAGATGAGAGATGAGAGAGCAAGAAACCAATCAATTGAAGAAGAATTATCGGTACAGCTGTACTATTAATAGTACACCTTTAGCTACACAGCTATGACATACACCATTCACCATGCCAGTCGCCAGTCGCCAGGAAGCTTGTATTATTTAAATTAGCTGGAGGTGGGAAGTGGAAAGCTGGTGGTACATGGGCTATGGGCTCTCATACTGTGACTACTATTAACTATTATCCGGATGAAGTGCCCAGAGGATTTAATTGCATCGAGGTGGCTTCTTTCGATCGATTATCATTATGAAAGCCGCCGAGTTTCGGTATTTCGGTATTAATAGTCAGTCATCCGACCTGTTCCACATCTGACAGTGCTGCACACTATTACTACGTGTAGTTCCACCGCTAGTACCACAATGTCATGTAAAGTATAGAGCAGTAGAGTACTTTAAGACATTAATTAAGACTATAAGACTACTATTCTATCTCATAATCGTGACGCTACCTACCGGTATGGATGTACTAGCACCGGTAACAGTTACGAGCTCAGTTACGCGTGAACAAAAATCAATTCGGTAGAGCCAAAACAGCTGCCAAAACCAATGAACGTTCTACATGACATTGTAGCACCTACAGGACAAATAATGGTACCAGTACTATGCATAGCTAGCTAGTGCCACCATACCGGTACTATTCTTTTAAATACAGACGGAAAAAGAACGCACGCACGCTCTCCCAAGACATTATTGCGCCTACTAGCGTGTCTTCCAGGTTCTTCCAGGAGAGCAGCTGGAGAAGTCAGAACGCAGTCGCTTTTAGAAGCACAATACCGGTACATACAGCTAGCCAGAGGTGTCATTAAATTTTTTAACATTGTGACGAATTCGGGACATTGAGAAAAAGATTCTCCGTTTCCAGTGGCCAAAGAAGCTCCAGGGAAGCTCTGGAAGACCTGGTTCAGGTAGTTGAGGTGAACATTTTTTGCATTCAATTATTCAGAGTAATATATAACGTTAGCCTATTAGTACCTCAACTACCCATAAAAGACTGTCTGGCCCGCTCTCTCTGGCCGGTACATGTAGGGGAGAATCGAGGTAAGTCTTAGTAACAGAGTACTGAAATTTTTATATGACACCGGTGGACACTAATTTGTCTAAGTAAATCCACCGTCAGTACAATCGTCACAGTAAATTCAAATTTTGTAGAGTTATGCGTTGACAAGATTGAAGGCTCCAACGTCGCTCGCTTAAGTCTGCGCCAGAGGTGCCACGTACAAGTCACAAAATCGTGCTCACATTTTCGAAGATACGTATGTTTCCGTGGAGTCGTCGAGTCATTGGATTTCTTCTTCCTACACAGTTAACTACAGCAAAGCTAGTATTTCACCATGCTACATACTGCTAGTTCTGAGTTTAAACACTGGCTAGATGTTAACATTCGCTACCCATTCAATGAGATTCGGAAGACCAGGCAGAGCTATGAACTCAAGTATGTTTTGTTGGTAGATGAAACTGACAGGGCAAACAGGTATAGTCAGTACTTTGTGCTAAAGGTAAAGTACCTTCCCAGTGTCATGGTTGAGCAACTCATAATGGAAGAAAAAGCTGTGCCCATGACACCTGATATGGCTTGGATTCTTGAGACCATGACCGGATGGGGAGTGAGGCAGAGTGCTGAGTGGTACAGTGATGTGCTTGCTCTGCTTGCTTTGGTAGTGGAGGAAGGAGATCCTATGACAAAGAAAGAGTTGTGTGCAATCATTGTTAGGCCACTTATGAGAGATGCACTCTATAATCAGTTTGGTGTGTGGGAGTGGGAAGCCAAAGAGTTCTTACTTACAGAATGGAAGCATTGGTTCAACACTGTGTGCTGGAGCAAGCACAAACACAACTTGAGTGGAATGGTCATCAGTAGCCAGCAGTACATTATTCACAGGGCTTCTCTCACTGCACACAATGGAGTTTATGCATACTCAATGCCTTGAATATGTCTCATGTCTGAAAAGAAAAGGAAGCAACAGCTGTAAGATTGTTGTTGTTTGTTATCCAACAAGTGTCCCAGTAACAGAACTAGCCAAAACATACCTTTTGCTCATACCACTGCTCCTTATCCTGGAGCAAGTACTGATGGGTAGCTTTCTTGCAGGTGATGCCCCATCCATCACTATTAGAATGGAACTCTTTCCTCTCTCTGCAATTCCCACAATAGTCCCTGCTGCATTGCTTTCCAGGTTTCTCTTGCAGGTGGTGATTAGATCTTCTGAAGCCACAAATGACACAGTACTTCCTGCTCCTGAAGACTCTCCTTGTTGGCCTGGGTGGAGGATTGGCAGGCAGATGAGGCAAAGTCATGACAAAAGGTGCATTGGCATTGGCATTGTTACCAGCAACACCTCCAGCAAAAATGGCTGGATTCAAAACTCCTGGAACTCCAAATGGAGCCCTGTTACCATTGTTGACCATTGCTGTTGGTCTCACAGTGTGGGGTAGCCGTGTTGCTGGCATGGATTGTCTCCCTTCTCTGAATTGGTTGTTGAGCTGGTCTCTTTCGGCATGTTGGCCATGTGGAACCAGCGCTTGGATTGCTTCGCTTTCTTTCCTGGCATCAAAGTAGTCACACAAAAAGGCACAAGACTTGAGGCGAATTTGCACAACTGACTCATCTCCTTGACTCCAAAGAGTCAAGCGGCGAGATGCCTCATTGTTCCAATCTCTGGCAAAGGCATGATAGTTGGTGGCGGCGTTGCCTCCTCTTCTGTTGTAGCGCTCTTTCATTTCGTCAAATAGTTGAGCCTCCTCCTGATCTTGAGGTGTTGCCGTGGTGCTACTGTGGGGCATTCGAAAGGGGATCCAAGGTGCATTTTCAGTAAGACGGCTGAATGCTTGTAGTGTTGTCTCGCGACCATCGTTCTCTGGGAGAAGGCGACTTAACTCGTCTTGGATGAATTGTCTGTTCTCTCGGTCATGGCGCTCTACCTCATCCACTTCTGTTAACTCTGCCAGTTCCCGCTCCTGTACACTCCTGTCAGTGTGGCCAAGGTTTTCATCGTCATCAACCGGAACTGGGATATCATCTGTTTCATTGCCCTCTAAATCGTCGTCCTCTTCCTCGCCACCATCAACATTCTCCAAGTCTTCATCTTCCTCCGGAATAGTGTAGTTGAATCCTAGGAATTCTTTTGGAGCATCCTTGTCGATCCGTGGAGCCGTGACCTCCATGAAAGGCAGCGCATCTTTTGAGTAGCCAATGGAGAGGGCATAGTTGTTGATCATCAAGAGTCGCTCCAATTGACACGTCCCATAGTCTTGACTGCCCAACCGGATAATACCCTTCCGGTAATTCTTGTGTTCAAAAAAACCCCACATAAGTCTATCAGCGCGATGGATCCCTAGTTGAAGCAATGACAATGTTCCAGTGAGAATACGCGATGTTGAAACTTCACTTGCCAAAGCAATCAATAAAACCAAGTTGCACTTACCGATGTGTGTGGCCATCAAGACATTGTTGGCAAGATCCAAGTTGTCTCGCTCGTTAGTGTTGGTTCCCCTGGCAACATACGTGATATCCTTCTTTCTGTTATGTCTGAAAAGATTTACACCAGTTGGATCTGACAAACAACCGCGGTCAACATGCTTCATTTGTTCCTGTACCACCTTCTGCAACTTGGTCGCATTCGAAGTGAAGAACCTTTTCGGCAGTGGAGATGTGTCATCTTCGCGTCTAGTTGCCAGGTGAGCTACCACCTCTGCATCCCTTGCTTGACAATAAGTAATGACGGCTTCGATGTTCTTCCTCAGAATGTCGGGGGGAGGAACAACAGAATTGGCATACTTCTTTATCTCTTTGACAGTTGGTTCGCGCTGGAGCTTCTGTTCCAAGTGCACCTTGGCCCTGTCGAATTCTCCTGGCTCAACAATGAAGCAAGCTCTGTTAAGCAACCCTCTGAAGATTCCTGCTTGCTTGGAAGAGGGCTCATGCATAATGTCGTTGAAGCGCTTCATGAAGTGAAAGATGTCAAGCTTCAATTGAATGTCATCACCAAAAACACGTCGAACGATGTTCTTGACATTGCAACAGTTATCCACATACACAACCTTGATTGAGTTCTCTTCTTGTTCCCCCCCAACAAAGACCGGAACTGGCTCTCCGGCAGCAACCCATCTGGCAACCTGTTTCTCTCGCTCTTCCTTCTTCTTGGCTTTCATGTTTCTATTCAATCGCTCCCTCAACCGGACAAGATCTTCTTCAATTTCACTGAAGGATTCAGAGTGCTTCAATGCCTTCCAGAATACTGTCAAGCCATCCTCATTCTGCACTGTGACAATACACTTGTAGGGAGCAAATGATTGGCCCTGCTTGGTCCATACATGAATCTTTGATGCAATTTTGTAGTTGAAATCAATTTTCAGGATTTCAGCTGTGAGGCCCATCATTTGTCTCACCTGAAACTCCTTCCGGTGATTGAAGAAGGAAGTCACAATGCAGTCTATTCGATGTTTGCTCAGCATTTGTCCGCAGTACCCCTTCTTCTCCTTGAAGTCGCTGAAAAGGGGTGGCTTGGATGGCTCATCCTGGGTAGCGGTGTTGCGAGTCCTCCTGCTGTGGTAAGGATTCCGGTCAATTCGCGCCTGTTCCTCGTTCACTCTCTCCTGGCATGTCGAGAGCTCATCAACACAAGTCTCTAAGTCTTCCTCGGCACTCTGAAGCTGCAACTTGCCAGATTCAATTTTCTTCTGGAATTTCTCGAGATAATTCAGTATCAGCTCCTGCCAACGGGGAAGAAGATGGCGAAATCGGTATTGTGGGTAGTCATTGACATCTACATTGAGAAGCTCGAACATGGAATTGATATTTGCTTCTTCAACTAGTGATCGGAGCTTGGTGGATCCAAGACCAGGGAGAATATTGCGTGCCCCATGAATATTGTGGTTGTCTTTGTCCCCAAGCATGTGCTTGAACAGCACATCAGTGCCCATCGTGTAATCAGCCTCTGCTATTTCAAGACGGATTCGCGTCACCTTGCTGTACAGATCAGATCGTCTTCTTTGAAGCCTCCCCAGTTCTTGGTCTTTTGGAGCATTCCCGAAATGGTCTCTCATTGTCCGCTGCCTCTTGTTTGGACGAATTTTGTTCATTCCAACCGCTGATAAGTACAGCTGATAATCATTGTAGTAGGCATTATATGCCAAGACCTTCAATCGCTTCGCGATCGCAGACGTAGCATTCGTTAGTGACTCCTCCACCACCAGGGCATGCAGTTCTTCATCAACAGCATAGCCATGGCCCATTTAATAATTGAAATAGCCATTGTAGATAGATGCATCCAGATGCATAGATTTCTTGTTGTAGCCAACAAAGGACTTCCCACAGCGCTGGCAAGGATACAGGAATGTGTCTAGCAATCTGTAGCGCTCCACTCCAAACAAAGGAATAGGACTATTAGTCCACTTTGCTTTCACCACATCTACTTGATCTCTCTTCTTGCAGTGAGGGCAGCATGGAATGTGGTTGTCAATGAGAAGATGCGGCGCCCAACATACAATTGGGCGACAATAGAAATCCCCTCTGTTTGTGGTCAAATTGTCAGTCCGGTTGAGTAGAGAACTGTCAAACCTCCCATATGGTGGAGTTATTGATTTCCAGCTAAAATCCTTGAAGAAAGCCTTCCCTTGGTGCTTGATGCTAGTTCTCACCTTCTTGATGAAGCTCCACTGAGCAGCACTCATGTGCTTTGGATCGTCGTTGGCTGCCACCATTGTTGCTATCGATTTTCTTTGCTCCGGAGCAACTTTGTGTGGATCCACGCTCGTACCGTACGAGATTTGCGCCCAAAATTGATCAGGAGAGTTGTACGCGCTCTCTATACTAAAATAGTACACTTACAATTCGCAAGATTCGAGAAATTTCGATGGGTCCAACCCAATTTTTGGAGGCAGACTACTGCGTCAAATAATAGTACCACTTTAACCTTGGAAATGGCACTAAAAAAGTCGACATTCTAAATCTATATCCTGGCGGAGTTATGGCATCAGAATGCTGGGACTTTCGAGACAATAGGGAGTGACAGAAATGATGTCATATATTCGGGATTGACATGATTACGGGATTCTCTTCTTTTCTCTCCTTCTTTTCTCCTCCTGCGCGAAACCGCGCGGGGCGCAGACCTACATGTATGGCAACCCTGGAGCGTTCCTCAATCGTGCATGAAACCGACCCTAAAATAGAGTCGGATTTAGGGTCGGATTCCCTTTAGGGTCGGGTTTCGAAACCGACCCTAAAAATAGGGACGTTTTCTGAAAAATAGGGACGGTTTCTGAAAAACCGTCCCTAATTTAGGGTCGGGTTTCGTTTTTGGGTCGGGTTTGAAAAACGTCCTTAAATAGAAACGGGACTGCCTGGTAAATACATTGAAAACGCACCAATATTAGGGTCGGGTTTCGAAACCGACCCTAAAAATAGGGATGTTTTCTGAAAAATAGGGACGGTTTCTGAAAAACCGTCCCTAATTTAGGGTAGGGTTTCGTTTTAGGGTCGGGTTTTGAAACCATCCCTATATTTAGGGACGAATTCCCCCAAACCGACCCTAAATTAGGGTCGGATTTAAAGTCATGCACGATTGAGGAACGCTCCTGTTGTTGATGTGGTTGATGTGCGTGTCAATAGATTTCGAGTCATAGATAGACTATTAGCTAGCCAGACGAGAGCTCAGTCTTTTTCTCGTTTCCAATTTAGTTTGACTGTGCCCTAGCTAGGACATAGTATTTCCCAAGAAAAGAAGAAAACGAATTCAGCAATAGAAAGATGTTTGGTTGGATCAATGATTGCACGGAATGCCTGGTGGTATCCAAATTTGGAGAAGAAACGTGGCACAAGGTGAAGGAAAAAGCCAACTGCGACGTGGTGGACGGGGGCTTTTTGCGTTACAAGTATTATCCCGACTCGGATACCGTCGCCTTGGTGGTAGCGGCTTCGGAAGTTTTGGGCATCAGTATTGATGAGGTTCTGCATGCCTTTGGTGACTATTTTATTGACTATGTCCAAGATAATGGATACAGCAATGTCCTGGAATGTCTGGGAGGAAATTTGCGAGATTGGTTATCCAACTTGAATTCACTCCATGATCACTTGCAAGCTTCATATCCCAAGGGATTTGTGGCTCCTGTATTTTGGAGTGAAGATGACCCCAAGTCAGGCCCCGAAGAAGGAGCCATTTTGGTCTATTATTATTCCCAGCGAGGCAGTCTTTTGGTGCCTTTGGTAGTAGGATTGCTCAAAAAGTTGGCAAAGTGTTACTTTGACATTGAAATCAACTTGGAACAGCTCGCCTTGCAGGATGAAGTCATTGAGGATCCAGATAACCCCGATGGAGAAGAAAAAACACATGAACATACCTGCTGGAGGGTCACTTCGGCAGATCCAGATGAAGCTCAAAAGCTACGTGGGAAACGAAGGAGAAAACGACGAGAAGATGCAGGAAGCAAGTATAGAGACGATGCCACGCTTACCACTTATACATCCACCTCTTCCACAGTCATGAGAAACAAATACGAACGAACCTTTCAAGAAGGAGGTGCTCAGGCTTCCTTTCTGCGAGTGGAGGAATTTGTCCAACGGTCCTTCTTCAATGAAGACTGCGAGCTCTACCATGCTTTGACCTTGGAGCAGTATGTCTACTTGGTGGGTTATTGGAAGACAACCAAGGTGCAAGACAGCAATGGCAACAACAACTCACCCGAAAATGAAGGCATGTGGTGCTATGAAGTGTGGGCGATTGAAAACGACGACACAGCCACCTGGCCGGCCTTGGAGGATTTGCCACCCAGACTAAACCCAGCACTGATTGGAGATGATCCAGTCCAATTTGGCGGGAAAATACCTGCCACCGGTGCCTTCCCGCCCAATGGTGATAACGATCTTCAATCGTTCAAACCCAAGATACGGGTACTGAATCCCATGGGTCCACAGTCTGTGGATCTCGTGTTCTCGGCGGATGTCCTGTCCTGGAGTTTGGAGCGAGCTGTGGCCAATGCCGCACTCGAGGCCAAAGTCATGGAATTCGAGCCCGATACTGCAGAACGAATTGACAATTGCGAGTTGGAAGTCCAGTGGGTGGTTTGGAATGATGCATCGGATGAAGCCTACCACACATTTACAGGGGGCGACCTTTCCATGACCTCTCTTCAGCAGCTGTATGATTTGACCGCTGGGGCCAACTTTGACCCGATTAAACTCGTCATCCAACTGGCAGAATCCGTCGCGGTGGACGACGACGAGGAGGACATATAGCCAGTTGTGCTGGTCGTTTCGCTACCCTTGCTGCCAATAGTGGGACGCAAGAGGCGTTCACTATCATCCGCCTCTCGCAGCAAACTGCCTAGACTACATGGCGGCCAATTCGAGAACCGGCTATCAGTTTTGGTTAGTACTGGCACCAGTCGTTCGGAGATGAGGAGGGCCAATTCATGTCGGCTGAGGCGCAGCAGACAATTAGAGTTTCTTTCAAACACATATCCTAGACTACTTTGTTTTATTTTTTCTCTCGTGTGTCCTTTTTCTCTCGTTACAAATTTGATTTTTATTCGCAAGTCGCAGAGCAATAGTAGCGGTACATGTAGCTGTGGGTTCAATTTCAATGGAGGCGACTTTCTCTTCTCGTGAATGTGTGCAAAATCCATTCCCAGCATCCAGGTCTCCGACACGATTGGATTCTCATCGTTTTAGATCCTCCATACCATTTTCAGATGGTTCATGGCCCACTCTCTTAGGCGAAGCGCCCGAATCGCGGATCGTCACTGACCTGAGAGGACGAGTCCGAGTCCGAGTCGAGCGGACTCTTTGGAGGTCCGCAGGGGTTTGGCATCATGGCCATCATGGGAACCGACGGATTGTGTGCTGCGTAGGCAAACTGACCAGTAGACGGATGATGCTGATCGACGGGATGAGCAAACTGCCACTGGGCCCATGGGTAATACGCTTGACCTGCGTACATGGGAACGCCTCCATTTCCACTGTATGGTGCCGGGTAGGGAGGGTGAGAATAGCACGGATGCATTTGAAAAGGATCGTTGCCGTAGCTCATTCCAAGTCCTCTGGCGCCTTGAGGAGGGGGAGCCAATGCACCCAGGTTTCGTGGAGGCGCCTGGTCACCATTGGCTCCTTGTTGAAACATGGGCATGGCTCGAAGTGCTGCTTGCATATTGGTTCGAAGCGTCGCGACGGATGACTGCACATCGTCACAGAATTTGTCAATGCTCTCTTCAATCAGCACACGTTGTACCGACGCGTCTCGGAGCTGTTGCTGCGAAGCAGCTGGCAACTTGGTGGTGCGTCCCCCGTTGTAGCCAGGTGGCGACTTCTTGGCTGGTCCAGGGGCGGCGGAAGATGACTGCACCTTGTCGTGCTTGCGCTTTTTAGCGTCGATTGATTCGTCCATGGGGCTGGGACTACCACGCTGCATGGCACTGTTTCTCCGAGGCATCGTCGCGACGAAAGCTTGGTCTTCGGTATGCTTCTCTGGGCTTGCCGCTGCCTTCGCGGCTGCCTGGCGGGTTGCACCGTACTTGGGTTCCTTCTTGTGGAGAAGGCGATCGCCGTGCGAGGAAAACTCACGATCCGACATTCGTGCGACTTGTTCTTGAGAGGCAAGCAACGAAGGTGATGAGCACACCCATCAATTGGAGAAGCGCATAGAAGCGCGAACAATCATTGATCACATTGAAAATACGTACCTGCCCAAGTCAACACTTTTCCGGCCGCTTCTTTTTCTCCTTCGTCGTCGTCGCCACCGTCGTCTTCTCCTCCTCCTGGGTGTTTCCAAAGCGACGGCGCCTTATTCTCGTGGGTGAGACAGCTCCTTTTCTTCTCGTCTTTGTTGGAAATTTCCTCTTTCTCCTCGCCATTGCGTGTGTCATTCGAAAAACTGGCCGTAGCGGGACTCGTGCCCTTGTACTTTGGGCTGTCCCAAGGAGTGCGTTGTTGTGGATTTGCATGTTCGTAGATGACCTTGAGAGAGCCGCTGTCATTCTGAGTGTTGTTTCGTGGCTGCTTGGCAGCGTGCTTCTTCGAAACAAGCTGACCTTCGTTCTTGGAGAACGGGTACTCGTTCGTTTCGTCGCTGTTTTTCAATCGCGCCATGAACAAAGAATCGCGTCGCTGCATGGTCGGCTGCGACGAACGACGCTTGTGGGCAACCTTTCCTTGAAAGCCGGCAGTAGGTGGAAGATCAATAGAAGTGGCAGTCGTCGCCTTGTTGGATCGTTCCCGAAGACTCAAAGACGGTGGAAGGCTGGAGCGTCGCTTCGTCGCCTTCTCCGGAGCGCGAAAAGCCTCGTTCTCTATCCCGAGGGACAACCGCCGGTACATGGCGTCTGGCTTGCTGCCATTGTGGCTGGAATACATGGCCTTGAAGGGCTGTTCTTGAATCGCATTCTCCTTTCCGGTGACAGGCCAATGTCCGAGACTGCTGCGTCGTCCTCCTCCTCCGCCAATCGCGTTGCTTTTGAAGGGAGGCAAAACGTAAAGGTTCTTGTCAGCAAAAAATGTACCGTCCGAACCTTCACCTCGACTCTCATTGTCCGAAGCGTACGCGGCTCGGCGCTCATTGTCTGAATCGTTTTCACAAAACTTGGACATGGTCAACTTATATCAAGTCCTCGAGAAAAGTGATTTGATTTATTTGTTTGCTCTTTCTTGAGCGCCTTTTTAGAAGGAAACACGGTGTCGATTCAATCGATTCGATTCTGATTCGATTTGAATCGAATCCTGAATTCGAAGCGTCCACGCAATCGAACGTTAATAAAAAGCCAAACCTTCCTCGCACCCCAGCAACACCGTGTAAGGATCACGAATGAACATCGCCATGGAAACGGGCGAAGACGATGGACATTGAAGGCAAGAGGAGCCGTGCCTGCCAGCTTGGAAACCGTGTTGGAAAGGAAGATACCAGGACGGACCATGCAAAGTTAACCATACCCCGGCAACATGAACCAAACAGACAATGCCTTCCAAGGTGAAGATTTCCGAGCAAGTGATTTCCCGTGGGAAGACCCAACGGAGGTACCTGCTTCCAGTAGCGCTTCCAGTACTAGTTGTGCCAGCGAAGGGGAGAATGATTGCTCGAGAAAGGACTACATCGAGAACCTAGTCAATGGGGATTCGTCAAGAGCATACAAGGATGCCCTTGGGCCAAATTGCACCACTGATAGCGCTACCGCTACCAGTAGTGATTCTTATGGAGATTCTGATGATGAGGATGGTGGCGATGGGAAGGATGGATCTGAACCAGAGATCCAAATACCCAAAAAAACGCCCAATGTTGCCACGTCCAGAGCCATTGCTCGAAACAGTACAGCCGTGGTTGAAGCGGCTCAGCGGCTATTGAGTCAGTACAACCCAGAGAGGATGCAAATCACACCTGAAGAGCGGAAGCAGGCGTTGGCCATCAAGCAGGCCATTGAATATACCCCAGATCTTGACAATGTGAGTATTGAAGACTGTAATAGTGGACAAGTGAATGAAGTAGCAAAAGGGGGCTTGATAGACTCACTCTTTATTGGTATCAGAATACGGACATGATGTATGCTCAGCTAGCAATTGTTGGAGATGGCGACATTGAATGGGCAATCAGCAAGGCTTACCAGATGCAAAAATTCAAGCAGGAGTATGCCCTCCTTGATACTGTGGAGGACTGCCTGAGACACATCCCCGGACTTGTCAAAGACGGATTCCTTCTTTCTGTGGACTTCAATCTGCACCAAGGTGGCTATATTATGGCAGGGGACATGCCAAAATTTGACTTTAGTCTGTGTGACTCTTCAGAGAGTTTGTGTGGTCTCAAGCAGAGGTCCTATTATCTACCACAAATCCTTTGTCCTGATTTGGCGGCAGTGAGAGCGGGAATCACTGGTCTCTTGGAATTTGATGGATATGGGAGAGCCCTCAACAATTTCACTTTTAGAACTTTCGCAACAGCTTTTCGTGAATCAACAGCCAATGCTTATGATATTTATCCGGCAAAGCATGCACAGTTCAAATTCTTCAACACTCCTCGGTTTGTGAATCTTGCAGTGGCATTGGTCAAGCCTATGTTGTCAAAGAATGCAGACAGCATCAAATTAGGGTGCAAGTTTCCGGGTGGGAGATTGGATAGTGTCTTCAACGTTCCAAATGAAGAAGCAGCTGTAGCCAGGCTGCGTGTGAAATTGGAAGAACTGATAATGAGAAGATATGACAATGAAAAGAAGTTCTCACTGGAGAATGTGCCTGCAGACGGCCAGGAGGTTGAGGCAGTAGAATCAACATAATCAGTGCCCTTGTTTGAAGCCATAGCTAGAGTGTTCCTAGCTAGCTACTGCCTTTTCGGGGATATTCATGAGTGAGTGTTCATTATGTTCTTGCTTTTAAAAGAAGAGGCTATCTGACCAGACGATATAACGATACTTATTCAATCTGGAAGGAGCCAACCCTTGCACACACTTGGAACGAGAGCAACGACGGAAGCACACACAAACGTTTGTACAGAAAGAATCTAAACCATTGGTAATAGACACATCTCAGCCAACTATCCCACCTTTCAGCACCATTCACGAGGTCACGTTGACTGACTGCTTCGATTCGATTCCATTCGATTCCACGGTGTCTACTCTTTCTTTCCGTCAATCCAAAAGGAGTTTTCGTAGTTGGGCATGCGAATATGGGGTGGATATTCAATTCCTCCACTGCGAGGTTCCAAGTTGGTGGCAAAGATGTGTTTGAATAGTTCCTCGTGAGGAGGAACTGGCGATTCCTTGGCCTTCAAGACTTCCTTTTGGACGTCTTTTCGGATTTTCTTTTCCATATCCTTGATTTCATCGGCCGTCATGAATTCGGCATCCACCAGGCACTTTTTGACGAATTCGAGAGGATCCTTGGTCGATCGGGTAAAGGCAATTTCGTCACGGTTACGGTAGGTGGTTCCGGGATCACTCATGGAATGTCCGTGGTATCGGTAAGTCATCATTTCGACGTACATGGGTCCATTTCCACTTCCACAATACTCCTTGGCAAATCTCATTCCCTCCTTGACGGCGAGTACGTTCATTCCATCGATTCGAAGTCCCGGAATTTCATTACCCATTTTGTAGTAGTCCTGAATGGAGGAGTGACGATCGATGGAGGTTCCCATACCGTAACGGTTGTTCTCAATGCAAAAGATCATGGGCTACAGTAATGTTGGATTGTATGGTAAGACAGTCAAGACAACGTCCAGGGAAGAAAGGAGTACGTGCAATGCAAATAAATATGAGCCGAAAGAATCAAGCAAGTATATGGAGTGATGTCAGTTGAATGAACTCACCAAATTCCAGAGATTACACATATTGGCAGCCTCCCAGATTTGTCCTTGATTGGCGGCTCCATCTCCAAAGCACGCCACGGAAACGTTCATTTTTTCACCGGGTTTGGATTTGTACTTGTTGGCAAAGGCACTTCCCGCTCCGACGGGGACCTGAGCACCCACAATCCCGGCACCTCCAAAAAAGTAGTTTGCCTTGTTGTAAAAGTGCATGGATCCTCCCTTTCCTCTGGAATATCCATCAATGTTACCAAATAGTTCTCCAACGACCGAGGAGACGGATCCACCTCGCGCCAAGGCGACACAATGGCATCGGTAACTGGTAATCCAGGAATCCTCGGGATCAAAGGCGGCATTAATGCCGGTGGCGACGGCTTCTTGTCCATCGTATAAATGGCAAAATCCACGAATGTTTCGTGCCTTGTACTCATTATCGCAGGTGATTTCCATACGACGCATCGTGTACATGAGTTCAAACATTTCCAACAGTTCTTCCTTGCTGCATTCTACCGTCGTCTCGGGAGCCGTATCCAACATGTGGGTCTAGTACGGTAGTATTAAAAAAAAGAGGATAAGCATTACCAACAAGTTTATAGAGGGGAAAGGAAGGAGCACGCTGAAAACAGTATCATACCTCAAAAGAGCCCTCAACGTCAAAGGTAGCATTGGATGAGAAGTATCGAGCAGCATTCACCGAAGGTAGGCGTCCACCGACGGCAGCACCCCTTGTAGCAATTCGCCTCAATAGAGTTCCAGCAATCATCTTATTGTAGATTGTTGGGAATAAATACTACTATCTGGTGGTGATTGCAAAGGCAACAACTAAGTACTGTACGATTAAGTGGAAGAAGATGGAGTTGGGGATGTACTTGCGAAGCTGTGGGCGCTGTGCTGTTGCTAAAATGCCAATTCTCAATGTGGAGGATTGGTATCTTTTTGAGTTCTCTTCCTTCCGGATCCATGGGTGGTGCTGCCTGCAGCTGCAATAAGCCAGTGGGAGCTGTTTTTTCGCAGGGCAATCCTTCGCCAATCTGAGATCCTTTGAGATCTATATCTTTGGTGCTGCTTTTGCCATGCTTTCACGCTGTTGCTTCCGTTTGTTCAGACCTTGTTAAACATTGTTGTTGATAGGTAATACAGTGCCATCGCTACCACGCATAGCTGAGTTTGCCTCTCCCTGTTTGTTTGCTTGTTATCTAAGCTATCATAGCCGAGGCTTGAAGAGAACAGTAGGAAACTAGTTGTAGCAAAACCATGGGACGAGCATCCCTCAAATCCAACGAACCAATTCGGTTGCCGCATGATGGACCGTTGCACAACCTATTGTTGCAACAACAGGAGAAGGACAACGAGCACGCTCGGGAGGAAGGACAAGATGAGGTCCTCCGCATGGCCCTGAGTTGTCTTCAAAATGGCCCATCAGTGAACGACGATAGTAACCATGATGTGGACCAACAAAGCATTGTGGGACTTCTTGCCTCCCTGCAGCAAGCCAAAACCATCAAGGAACAATTGCAAACCCTCCAAACTTTTCGAAGCAAATCCAAGCAACAGCAACAACAAAAAGATTCCACTGAATCATCAGACGCGTCAGTAAGCTATCGAAGAGTCCTCTATCGAATATTGATGGAGTGGTTCCTTTCCATTCAAACTCCAGTGCCGTTGAGACGAGCCATTCAAGCCAATCTGGATGGTCTTACTGCTCCACAACTACAACACGACACAAGCCAAAATGACATTGCATGTCATGTCTTGACATCCATCCTAGTAGTAGTGTCATCCAACAATCATTGGCAACAGCCACTGCATTCTCTTCATGAAGCTCTCAACTACAAGGTCACACACGATCTTCTTATTCTGACGAGCCACAACAAGCCACTAGCCAATCAACTCTTTGCGTTTCTTCATCACTATGCCAAGCAACAGATTCTACCAATCCTCGAAACGACACTCTCCAATCATCCTACAACAAAGTTAGACGAAAACATATTCTTTGTCGAGCAAGAGGTCACACGGGCCATTCAACAAGCCATTCAATGGGCGGGCATTTTGAAAACCGTTCTGGCGGATGCACCACCCTCGCTCATAATATTGCATGACAATGATGATGACATGCTGGAATTCAGTGAATCTTTTCTCCATCAAATCATGACCTGTCGCATGGTGCCCGTCGATTCCCTCAGCAACTTGGGCATGGCGTACAGTCGTGTAGTGCTGATGCTGAGAAGAAGAAAACAGGTCCAAGACGACGACCTAGCGCAACTCGTGGACAATCTCGTGGCCCAACAACTGTCCGATATGACCACCATTGCCATGATTCAGGGGCTCGCCGCGACGGCACCAATCAAGGTCATGTTGCACACGTCGCGGTGTTTCATGCAGTACTTTCGACGGCTGGCCCATCATTCAGACCCAGGAGTACGTCTGGTAGCTCTCAAGGGCATTCACACATTAATCAGTCGATGTTATACTCTTTGTATTGCAACAACAGCAACCACACCAGTGACAACGTCAGAGCTGGAAGCCATTCAATACATGACCGAAGGAACACTCGAAATGGTCTTGGCGGCATGGGAGAACCCACCCAATCGGAGATTAGGCAGTGCCATACAATCCCTGTTTCAAAAACTGATTGCATTGATGCAAGAGTTGGGACAACAACAGA